AGCAGCAGTTCCGTTGGCGGCAGCACCTCCAGCGGTAGAGGGCGGCGCCGGCGGCGGCGGCAGCAGCAGCAGCAGCCTTAGCCGCCTTCTTTCCCTTGCCCTTGCCCTTTCCGGCGGCAGGGGCAGCGGCAGCAGTACCGTTGTTGGAAGCGCCCTATTGTCAATTAGTATGAGTTGGAACCAAGATGTACAAGATAACTTACAGCACCCACGGTGGCACCAGCACCAGCTCCCGCTCCACCAGCAGCAGCACCGGCACCAGTACCAGCGGCACCTGTACCAGCAGCACCTGTACCAGCGGCACCAGTACCAGCGGCACCAGTACCAGCAGCACCTGTACCAGCACCCGCTCCAGTAGCGGCACCGGCACCATTCGCGGCACCATTCGCGGCACCAGCGTTAGCCTTGCCCTTGCCGTTGCCAGCCTGTGGTGATATTAGCATCTGATCAAGTGAAAAAGGGGGTATGACATACAGCAGGGCTGGGGGAGGCAGCAGCAGCAGCTCCAGTTCCGGCACCGGTAGCGGCACCAGCGGCACCAGCTCCAGTTGCGGCACCAGCAGCAGGGTTACCACCAGCAGCACTTCCAATCAAGGCAGCGATGGGGTCGGCAGCACCTCCAGCGCCACCGGCAGCACCTCCTGCACCGCCAGCTGCTCCAAGAGCACCAGCGAGAGGGTTGGCTCCAGCAGCACCTCCTGCTCCACCAGCGGCGCCAGTAAGGCCACCGAGAAGTTGGTCAAGTTGGCGCTTAGCCTTCAGCTTCTCGCTGGAGAGCTTGCGGACTGTGTTGACAAAGTGTTCCGGAAGCGGGTTACCGGAAGTATCCTACAGTTGTTAGTAAGATTGTCAAGTAGCCAAGGCAAACTGGGTGGAGAAAACTTACAACCCATCGCTTGTTGAGGGTAAGTTGGGGGTAGGGGGCAGGCGCCGCAAGGACGGATGCAGCCAATGAGGCGATAAGGATGGAAGATTCGAATCTCATGTTGATTGATGTGTTGAGTGATATGTAGAAAGGGATGAGTAAGTGAGAGAGACTGTCCGGCAGTAAGGTATGTAAGGAGGAGATATTAATGAAAGCCCAAAGGATGTATATACAAAACCAGGTATAGGGCAAAGAAAGAGATGCTGAATGAGTATCGAACTGGATAATCCTACTGTCGCCTCGTAGCCTTTCCTATATAGATGTTTTCGTGGAGAAAGGGCCGATCGGGAGGCGTAGTCCGGTATCAGAAGGTTGACGTGTTCTGGCCCCTCGATCAGCTAACCAGCTAGTATCATTACTGCCTCTGTTACGCCGTTCTATGCGTGCTAGAAGATGTGCAGGCCTCGAGGCAGCATGGTGGTGCGTGGCATGCCTAAACTGCGACAGTGATGTGTGGGGAGCGAAACAAGTTATGTGACGGGGACCCACAGTTTACAGCTACAGAGACGCGGGTAGTCGTTTAGCGAAACGGTATACTACCCAGATGCAACGTAAGCTGGTAAGCGATCTTACATGAACATTACTTTTGTTTATTTTTGTGTACAGTCCAGCTTTGCAATGGTATCGCGATATGCCAGCTCGCTGAGATACGCTGACACAAATGTGTGGAAAACATATTTCATCAAAACCAAACGGTTCAACACATAACGCTTAAAGACAAGACTTTTAGACTGGTGTGGCTGTTTTCGTCGCAGTGGCCGCGAAACGTGCGGGCGGCACGGCGTAGTGTCCGTTCGGATAGAACGCGATGCGGGACAGGTTTCGAACGTCAGGCGAATAGCAAATGCTGCCATATAGCTGTAGCTGGGAACGTATGAGAAAGGTCATCGACGTGTTTGAGTGCATATGTGTCATTGAGTGGTGAAGCAATGGACGAAGGCGGAGAGTGGGGACCGCAAAGCTTAGCAATGGTGACTTCCGCGTTTTAGCTGGGCGCTAAGCCCGAAACAGATGCGATGAGGAATGCGAAACCTGGGAATTGCGTACGACAAGCATTTGTAAGTGTCGGCATACACACGGTGTGTCGCCTAATGAGGCCCAATGTACCGCCTCGATCCTACTTCGGCCCAACTCGGACCCAACGTTATGTATACCTTCGTAGCCCCCACATTCGTAGAATCATCATACACCGAAATACCAATACACCAGATTACCTTAGTTACTGTTATTCACCGTACGATCGTACAAGGCCTTCCAACAGTAAGCATGAATCTGAGACTGTTCTTCTTGTTTATGGAAGCCTGTCCGAGTAGTTCCCAGGTACGATCCAGGTACTGCGCCTCGCTACGCTTTGCCGCCATCACTATCACATGTTCTATACGCTAGGTAAATCGATGATACGTTCGCGTTCATCTCCTCCTTGCCAAGCCTGTAACATACAACTCCCCAGGTTCAGCCTCCACTTTCCAGCCTTCGTTGACTAGTGTTTTCAGGACCGCGGGCCCTAGCTTGCCTCTACCGCCCTCGCTGTGTCGGCCTAGACCTGTGATGATTCGATATGCTTCGCCGCCACCTCTCCTACCAGGACCACTCCACTCAGGTAGTCTTCGCTCCCCAAGACCGTCCCACCAGGCTCGGGTGCGTTGTTTTGCAATGCTCGTCGCGTCCGCAACGCTTACTCCGTGCAAGTCTAAATGTGTAGGCCCAGACTGCGCTGATACGAGCGCGTCAGCCTGGGCTGCATTCATAACTTTGAGGTTGGCGTTGAGATCACGTCCCTCTTGCGCGTAGTACGCTGCTGCTTGCCTCATGGAAGGCGCTCCTTTGCCTCTGCGGTAAGCGCCACTTGCCTTTTCAAAAGCATCGTTACGGGCAGCGGTGGTGGACGCTACATCGCGCGGCCGCGCAGATGGTGCTAGCATTGGCAGCCTCGTTTCTTCTGAAGGCTCGGATAAATCGACTGGAGCATATCGAAAGTCGAGTTTGAGGCCACCCTTGCCGCCCGTCTCACTCGCCGGCTGTTGAGTGAGGGACTTGGCGAGCTCCTGGGCTTTTGTCGTAGATGGAGTAGCGAGGCGCACCAGAGCAAGAGCATACTCTAGGTCCATGGACGGAAAGCTTTCATTAAGAGCGATTGCATCCTGCACTAACGCGGCGTCTGGCTCCTCCTTTCTGTGTGCCTCAATATCCTTCCGCACGACGGCCAGTACGGTTGCTGACAAAGATGCGCCGTTTGCGTGGTAGATGGAAGACACTGTCTTCGGAGGGACATTCGTACGTGAGGTTACAAACTCCACGTCACGACTTGTATTCTGCCAGCGGTTTGACGTCGCGTTTGCTTCGACAAAGTAGCTCGTGTCTGGCCCGTTCAGAGAGACTTTCTGCTTCTTTTTGTTCTTGCCCTTCTTTCCACGATGCGGCACCACATGATCTTCAGAGAAAGCTTCGATCCCCCTGGCAATCGGACCTTCTTCTGTAGGGCTCTTCCTGCTATCGTCGAAGAAGACTTGGTTCAGCAGCTCGTCCGTCGCTTTGTCGTAGTCGTAGCCGCATTTCCTCAGCGTATACGTCACCTGGGAGAGACGCAGCCCCGGGAATGTCTCGGCGAGCAGCAGCTCCTTGGTCGGAACATCAAATTGCTTCGTGTCCTTGTAGTATCCGCTCTCAAATGAGCCTTCGTCGCTTCCCGACCGACCGCTTCCACTCCGCATGGAGTCGCTGGAGAGGTTCGATTGATCCGTCGCTACCGTCTGCGTCGCCCACGAATCGGCGTTGGACTCTACGTCGGTGCTATGCTTGCTGGCATCTTGGACGGCGCCTCCGCTGCTACCAGATGGATCGAAGTTGAGCGCCTCGATATCGGCTGTAATTTTTAGGGTGTCCAGCAGATGCCTCGTAAGGCTAACGGCGTTCGGTTCCCCTGCATAATCTGAGTATATAGTGTACAATAGGGTAGGGTCTATTGGCGGGCAGTACTCCTGCTAAGGTCGTATATTTGTTAGTCACGTCGTGCGACAGATGCATCCACTCCCTTACATACCTCGAGCATGCGCAATTCTTCATCCATTTTGGTTCTTGGAATATTGACGTCTTAGGTGTCTGTACAGCGAGTACATACTCGAACAAAGACGTGACCTGAGGGGAAAGCTGTGCGGAAGTCTCCTTTTGGCGGCTTACGCGTGCGATATGACAGGTCGCAGGAGATTACCCGTCGTTGCGATACACAATAAAAGGAGTGGTCGTACAGAATATAGCAACCCTAGGCAGGCAAACGTGTGTGGGGTGGCGTGGCACAACGTTGGCACGTGGTTGCGATAACCACACGTGGGAGGGGAGATTGTAGCCGAGCTTAGCGCGAATGAGCGCGAATGGGAGCAATTCACGGTCGCTGTAGCTTCGTAACTCTCGCCATGAAGAGGGATTGGACTTTGCGACAGCGGTCGCGTAAGCTCATATAGTTTGCGATGCCAGATCCAGACGTCATCCCATCTGAGACTATTCGGGCAGATCGCGCGTCATCTCCACTGGCCCTAACTAGCGCTAGCTCGGGAGACAGCCTTTCCAAGGTTGACTTACTCATAGACCCCTTCTATCGCTGGCACGTGTTCATCACTACAACTGTCAGTGACCGGTACATGTGTCGTTGTGAGAGTAGGTCAGGTGAGCCTCTTGTTTGAACGTCATGATTTCCAACTCGAATTACTTCGGTCCCCAACCCACTTCTTGTGTTCGTAATATCCACCTTGAACATGTCAACTTGAACGTCTTTCTGTATTGTGATACATTCTCAACCGTATCGGCCCTTTTCTCGTTCAGGTATCTTCTTCCATGTCTGGTGGGCGCTGAGCTGTTTGGATCTGCGAATCAGCCTTCCCACACACTTTAAGGCCCCCAAAAAGAACGCCCAGCCAAGAGTCGCCCGCATACCATCACGGCCTGGCTGTACAAGCGATGATTGCCTTGGCCTTTCCGCGTTTCATGGGTACTCTAGTATGTTCAAATTGTCTCTAGACCCCAATTTCGTGGTGATATGTTCTTGTCCTCTTCTCCAAGTGTCACAATTCATCAAAACATCCGTTCCTAATCACGGGAAACGCGCCAGCATAATGGCGCCCATCCAGCGTCGCGCATCGGAAATCTCCCCTCAGGCCTATATCGCAATCATCTCTTTGGTCGCTCTTTTTGTCTGCGGCATCTTCTGCTGTATCGTTTTCTACAAGGTGTGCAGTAAACAGCGGAAGCGCGAAAAAGCCATGCGCAGGATGCAGGAAGAGCGGACACCGTTTGTTGGGGCTCAGTATATGGCACCTGTAGGCGCACAGAGTAAGCAGCAGTCGCCCCCGTATGTTCACCCATCAAGTCCTCAAGAGTTGAACACGTATCGGTACGATGGACCGTTGGAACTGCAGGGTAGTGGAAGACCAGGCCCTCCACCTGTTCACCAGATTGACGGGTATACGGCAGCGGTATGTGTGCCTTCATGCGTTTTTTAGGAGAAAAACTGACATGTGATAGCCGTCGTTCGATGACAAGGCTATCGAAATGCCTGCTTATGCTGCAGTGAAAGGGACGAACAACGGATATGGAGCACCGAGGTGAAAGATTAGGACATGCGAGAACTTAGGCCTCAGGCAAAATCGTATGCAATAAGCTGTTGGATCAGAGGGGGAAATGGCATATTTACGCTTCCAACGCGTAAACCATCGCTTCTACCTATCCCGCGTAGCCAGTAGCCACTCCAGGCGCTGACAACAAGGCAAACGCGATGCACGGGGGTTGACGTTACACCTTACTATTCGCATTCCCCGCACTCCCGTGGTGAAAGAGCGCTTCGCTTCGATTTCAGACTGACCTGTTCGCTCGTCTGCCAGTATAGAAATTCTCTACCATCGTCCATTACACTAATTCAGCCACAACCACTCTACCCCGACAACACATGTTCAGCATTTACGATGGATCTCATCGATTTCGGCAACCACAGGGACCCCATCCCCAAAGCCCCATGCACAGGAGACGCCATCCCGACAAACCCACCTACAGGCGACACCATGGCCGACAACCCCTCCACCGCCGACACCGACGACGCCGCCATCCACCTACCCCTTCGCCCCGTCACCCCGCGCAATACCCACATTCCCGTCTATACCCCCACGACCTTCGACTTCTCCACCCTCCCCTCTAACTCCCGTGTCCGCATCTTCCGCCTCCGCCCCTCAATCTCCCACTTCTGGGCCCACCTCACCCCCGCCTCCGCCTTCCCCCAGCAATACCTGCCCGACCTGGACTCCCACAACTGGGGACCCGACCTCCTCGACGCCATCAACAACCTCGCGCGCCTCTCGCGTTTAGAGTACAAGACTCAGGCTGTCTGGTATGTTGTTTTTCATCTCAAGTAGCGGAATGGAACGGGCGAGTGCAAAGGTGGTAGTGGTGAGGGATTGGGGTATTGGAAGGATGAAGATGTCACGCCAGGGATGGTTATGAGGGGAGATTTTGTGGTGAGGGTGGTGGACGTGGAGTATGCGATTAGGATGGTTGAGAGGTTCGTTTTGGGGGGTAATGAGGAGATGGGTCAGGATGGTGATGGAGTGGCGAGGAAGGGGCGTGGGCATGGGGCACAGAGAAGGGGTTACTTTCATTTGTGAGGCTGAGAGGGGTGTTGTTTTGGCACGAGGGGAAAGGGAGTGTGGATATATGATTCGATGTCGTGATCGCTAGCTTCCTCGTACAACAAGACGACTGGCATCAATTAGAGGGAGTAGATGAAAGATTCTGGAGGAGAGATGAGATAGAGTAAAGGTTGCCAGAACCAAAGAATACACATAAACGACATCACAGATACAACTGCTTTTCAGTCTATTCGCGTTTTCCTTTGCACCTTACATACTCTTACCCCCAAGTTGTTCCGAAACACGATCATAAATCCACAAATGCTCAACATATGTAGAAAGGCGTGTTTCACTCATTAATAGCACAGCCAAAGATTTCCCTTTGTGGCAGCCGCACATATCAGCTCAAAGCAGACTTTGGAGCTATTGGTCCTATTTTGCATTGTGTGTTAATTGCGGAAGCATTTTGAGAAACGGAGAGGCAAGAAGGAAGCGGTAGCTTGTATAGAGGAGGCCGGAAAGGAAGGAAGGGGGGCAAAGGAGATGGCAATGGAGAGAAGGGATAAAACCACAGGAGCGATGTGACCTTAGGTAGGAGTGGGAGTAGACCGCGGACATGTGTTTGTTCGTGATTTTCTATATCTATATATGTATAGGTTGAAGTTCTATGTTAACGTTCTAATGCAGTAATGGGTATTCAATCGTTTATCTAATCATCTTCGTCTTCATCTTCATCTTCGCTATCGTCATCATCGTCATCGTCATCATCCTCTTCCTCCTCATCATCATTCTCCTCCTCCTCCTCATCACTATCCTCATCCACAGCCCCAATGATATCCAACTGCAATCCCGCCTGTTTACATGCATCCTTAATTTCTCTCGACACCCCATTCTCACCCTCCACAACGACCATCGTCTTCCAATTTCTCGCCACAATACTCTTCTGCTCGATCGTCGCCAGTAAAAGATCCGTAACCTCAGCATCGCTACCCAGTTCATTGAAGAGTTCGAGCGTTTCCATGACAGGCGGTAAACCAACGGAGTGCAGGCGCGGTTTCTTAGACGATTTACCAAAGAGTTGGTAGTCCCAATTTAGCCGGAGTGTCTTGAGTGCGGCGAATTCGCGCATTCGGAGGACCTTTCTGCCTGTGAGGGTGGGGTGGTCGATGGTGATGCTAGTCAAAAACTCCGCCTGAGACTGCGCGGCTAAGATGTAATCGCCAACATTATCGGAGCTTTCTTCTAATTCCGGTTCCGGCTCTTCAGTCTGCGTCATGACGAACTCCTCGAGCGCGGAAGGAAGTTCAAGAAGATCGCCAAGTGAGTCGTCGTTGATGTCGCATTCGATGAGGTGAAGCTTCTTGAGTGCGGTTTGGTGTGGTCGCTCGATATGGTCGAAGCCTCTTTCATCTAGTTTCGCTCTCCGGATCGTTAGCATTTCCAGGGTAGGGTGTGCGAAGATGTGGATGTTTTCGCGGAGGTCCCAGTATGCGTCATTTGCGCTTTGGTAGAAGAGCGAACATGTCTTGAGGCAAGCAAGGTCAAAAGGGCCGTTGAACAAGGTTCCGATTCCGCGTAGCAGCACGTCGGGCACTGATATGTCAAGTTTTTCCAGATTTGACATTATGGACAAGGTCCGCGAGAGGCTGTCTGAGCGTTGGGGATCCAGGTAGGAACCATGCACAGGCGCATCGAGCGCTAGCTGCGATAGTTCTGAGGATGGGTAGGCAAGCTTGATTTCTTGAATAGCGGAGCCTCGACGCGGTCGTCGACTTAGCGACTCACTGAAAGTAAGATGCAGCTCCGGTGTCTCGAATAGAATGCTCTTGTAAAGAATCGCATCACTGAGGCGGTGGCATTTCTTGTTGACCCGCGACACATTGCACAGGTCCCGCCTGGCGATGCGCCCCACTGCCTCGAAGATTTGAAGGAGTAGTTCGTCTGGTAATTTACTCAGTCGATCACTGGCAGCGCCTGCACATACATTGTCGCCATTTGTTAACATGTTCGATGCCGGAACTGTATAATGCGCAGGCACCGTGGATGGGCGGTACTTTGTGATTTTGTCGGCGAACACGTGGAGTGCAGATGACCTGACTCGCTAGAATGCGGGGAAGGTGTGGAGACCAAAACTTCGATAATGATGTGGCCAAAATGAGGAAAAGTGGCGGTAATGTTGGATAGTCTCTACGGTGTAGTAAGAGGGGGTGAAGACGTGTTGTAGGGCAATATTTGGAAAGAGAATGGAAGAGTTGTGACACAAGGGTTCCGGTTGCAGGCATAAGAAGGGGCGCGCGGCTGGTGCCGCCACGAGTGGCTGATGACCTCATCCGGCAATGCAGCGTCTTGCCTTGCAACGCGGCAATTCCTTCATCGCCCTGAAACCTCACAGGAAAGAGCAATTCATTTGAGACAATACAATCCTCTATTTACTAACGCCATAATTTATAACCTTACGGCTGTAATACGGCTTGGAGTGTTACAGAAGCGACCCAAATTACTCTCACCTACCAACAAACCTTGAAAGCATCAGAACACGCCTAAACTACTGCTCACTAGCAACACCAAAATGCTGCATCACTATCTGTGACTAGAAGATACAGCCTTTTTCACTCCTGAAATAATATCATTGTCCTGTCGTGACACTACAGATTGAATCACATCAGTCTCTGGGACATGCAGCCACACAGCGTGTTTCCGCAACAGACGTGAGTACATTTTCAGGGAGGCGGATGGAGAAGAAATTGGCAGCCTAGCGCCATGATGAACTTATGGTGGACCATAGAGTAATCACCTTTCACGCGATGCCGCAAACATGGTCGGCTCACCCTAATTGGGAAAGCGCTTTTCTGATGTCGTCACTTGTTAAGATTATGTATTCGTCTGTCACTGAGTAATATTAGTCAATCTTTGATGTAGAGCTCTTTTCTCTTTCTTTTCACAGCTCCCGGCGTGCGCAACTCGTAAACTTTCAGTTCCACGCAAGTCCCATACAGTCCATGCCAGCAAAACTTGAGAGCATGATGGGCCAACTTCTTTCCCGCATGTTGTGGGGTAGGGAGTCTACAGGACGCACTGAGCCTCCAGAGCCTCCCACAGAGTCCACCAAGCCTGGAGTGCACCGGCAGCACCTGGGACACGTCTCCAACTTCTTCTCGACACTAAGCCAAACAGAAATCCTGGAATACTGCTTGGGCTACGACAAACCTAATGCTCCTAAGTTAGCAGAGCAGGTGATCCTGATCGCACTGAAGTGTCACTCACTGGACAAACAGCCGTATCCTCTGCTAGAGATTGGCATACATTATCTCCCACGCCACGTCGCCAAAAAAGAGCTGGCAAATCCTGGACCGCACAGTCTTAACCTCCTTCGTCGAATCGCCTACTACCATATAATACTCGAGGAGAACGCGCGTCACGCAAACCGACTATCAGACCCTCGAGATGCTGAGATTAATCGCTTCGGTGCCACTCGCTTTGTGAACATGGATGACGCAAGGATTGTTCTGGGACAAATGTTCAGGACGGTAACCATGATCGAGTCTCCTGCAGGCAGCAAATCCTGTGTTCCGTCTCTCTGTCCCGTTGTCATTCTCAACTACGATGTACCACAGGTGCCTGCACTACAACTAGCGTTCGAATTTGATTATTCCATCGCGCAAAGCATGGTAGCAACCATCAACACAAAGCGCATTAATTGCGAGCTGAATTGCCCATGGCGCAGCGCCGAAATCCCACTATCTCAGTTGACCCAGGACCTCAAGATCGAATCCCCGGACAAGCAGAGCGCCGCTGATCAAGCTGCCTACGCACTCATCGACGCCATACAGCTGGTTATGCGATGGAAGATTCCACGAGCGAAGGAGTCAATACGGTCCGTTATCAACACCACGATGCTGTACAGCCAGTCGGATGTTCCTTGGTGGGGCGAGAAGGACCTTTGCACAGTGTGCGGAGAACATGGGCATAAGCGTCAGAAGTGCCACTGGGTGCAACAGCGGATGGTGGAATGCTGGGAATGTACATCTGCGAGGAGGCTATGTGTGGGACATATACATACACCGGAGATGTGTCCGCATTTCTCGGTAGAGTACTAGCGGGTTGCAAATGTGTCACGGTGATTGAAGTTGGATGATATATACAGAAGCTTGGAGTGGAAGAGGCAAGAAGGGACTTCTGGTATGATAAAACACTATGGATTTATGCCTAGGCGTACATAAAGATGGCATGGTAGACGATGGGGGAGAATCGATTGTGGCCTCCCAAGTGTAATGAGTGTCTTGCAGAACTCAAGCTTGTAGCTTAGTCAAGCACATGATCTTTTGGATCATCGTATGAGGCATTTAGTCACCAATGATACAAGGAATTCATGCATATTTCAATGATTAGCCATGTCATATGTGGTAAAAGGTTCATGCTAAGTTACGTTTGTACAAACGTTCACCTAATGACTAGCTAATACATGCCCAGGGTAATACGGTTCGGGGTCAGGAACTGTGCTTTTCGATTCGATGTTTCAGAATGTAATGCAACTTCCCGAGACTGTCATGACCGCCTATGCTCATCGATGCTTTGCAAGCTGCGCGCTGAGACTATCTCAGAACACCTACTTGTCATCAACGCGTCCTTCCTCGCCCGTTCCATTGCGACGGAGACCATCTGCAACAGCTCCAGCAACCACCACGTGGATATGCGCAGACATCTGTGCAAACAAGCCTTGTGCTACACTAAAGGCAAAGAACATCGGCGCGAGAAGGACGTCGCATTCAAGGCGCTCAGTCCAACCCAAATGACACACTGCAGCAGCGTACACTCCCAGAACGATAGCCATCCTCCAGACTGTGAGTGCAAGAGTCTTTGGTCCGAGGAAGGCACTGCCGAGAAGAAGAATGACGTAGAAGGCGACGATGCTGAGCTGGAGGTCCCTGGCGATGTGTGCATGAGTGAGGGTGAATGGACCGATGGTACTGTTGACAGCGAAGAGGGCGTTGTCCGATCGAACACTAACAACCTGCATGGCCTTTGCTGTCGACGCACCGCCGAGATCGATGTTGATCGTGACACACGCCGCCGTGGTCTTCTCACTCTCTGCGCCGTGATGGTTGCCGTGATGCTCGCCCATAGCCATAGTGATCTGCTTCCTGATGAATTCGCCGAGCTCGCGGTAGCGTGCGCGTAGCAAGAGGTCTTCCTTAGCAGCCTTAACTGAAGAAGAATCACTCGCAATGCTATCGTCGTCGTAATCTGCGACTGAGTTACTAAGCTTTAGGCTGTTGTAGTTGTCATGTGCGATCTTGAGTGACGTACGGCAGCGGTCCAGCAAGTCATCGAAGTCTAGCATGTCAGTGTTCTTGTTCTGCTCTGGGCCGAGGCTTTGATTTTGTCGCTTGGGGTCATCGGGTTTGGGAGGTACTGCAGGTTTGTTAGGAATGGGGTACGTTACGTGCAGTAATGACAATACTTACGGAAGCTCTTGAGAGGTTTCTTGTCTCCGACGATTTCTGACTTTGCATCTGTGGGGTTGGTATCGGCTTGATGTTGTTAGGGACAGTTTGTAGGCTTGAGGCATACACAAACATACCGTACATGTTGTCAGTGAGTTTGCCTGGTGAATCATGCGGTGAGCTACTGTGATATTTGGCGTCATTGAGAGTCGGGAGAGCAAAGTCGATGATCTTAGGGCTCGCGGTCTTGATGACACTCTCAGTCTTCTCGTCATGTGTCATCACGGGGCCGACTTCTTCATCGCGTTCTTCCATGATCGCCGATTGATCAATGTCGATGCTGTCGAGGTAAACCATTTCAGCGTTCACTTGCGAACTGGAAGAAGGGCGCTCGCAGGGCAAAAGACCAATCTGCTGGAATCCAGGCTTGACAGTTGGCGATGAAAGCGGACTGGAGTCAGCGTGTTGGGCCTTTGTCGATGTCGCAGGGCTAGATGAGGCACTAGAATCAGGGCGATGCTTGAACATGCTGCGGAATCGGTTGGACTTGCGCTCCGTCTTTGGGGTCTCGTTGGCGGGCGCACTGAGACGAGCCATATCGGCGTCGTTCAAGTCTGATGCGCGGGTTGCAGGGGCGGGGAGCGACATTTGTGGCTGAAGCTACAGCTGTAAGATTGCTTGCATAGTGTTCGTCCGTTTGTGGTTGTGATTATATAAGCGTGTGTCACAGTGACGGTGAGAGCTCAGGTGAGTGAGTACAAACGCGCCATCGCAACTTCATTCCATTTTCCCCTGCACTCATCACCTCTTTGTTTGCGTCAAACCACATTGCGAGCGCCACCCGCAAATTGAGTTTGTTCTGAAGCAGTACCGCAAACCAGTTGCCGACAGCCACCTGGGCAGCTTGGGATACCTACGTAGGTACGTCCTCCCAAGGCCATCATCACTAGGAAACTAACAAAGCCAAAAGGTTCCCTTTCATTAGTCGCGATGGCTCAAACAGCATCATTCCCGTTCATGCGACTACCTGCGGAGCTTCGGCTTATGGTATACGAGCGCATTGCCATTAATGTTCACTCATATCTTGTTTGGGTGGTGCCGGGGAAATTTGGTGTCCCAACCGAGTCTCACTACCACATGTTCGGAAAGAGAACCGAAACAGCTATTTTGCGTGTTTCTCGGCAAGTGTATGCGGAAGCTTACGCCCTCATGCAAACGAACCAGTTCCATGAGATCAGATCTACGCCATTCAGCGTCTTGCTCAACTTGGCCGCAAGTGAAGAGCTGAAGCTGTGCATTGAGGATATCGGACAGTGTGGCTCCTTCATTTGCAAGGAGTCGAACAACATTCATATCGGTCACTTGGGACACAATGTTAAATTCACGACGATCATGGAAGTCGGCATCCTTGGAGCAAACCACTTTTCCGAATCAGAATACAGGCGAATAGCCAGTGGGCTGGTAGGAGTCGGCTTTGGAGTCAGACATATTTTGCGGATGATCGGGAATTCTTCCACTACCCCGGAAGAGAGTTGTGACATACAGACTTCATCTCAATGCGAAAGCTTCCTAGATCAGCTAATTGAGGGAGCCAAGCGCCAACCTTGGTGGGCCAGGTTTGAAAAGGGCACTAATGTGAGTGAGGCAGAGTTCACTCTGGAGTGGTCTGTTGGAGATTACTACTGTACTTCGATCCACTAGAGAGTAGGTAATCCATAGGGTCATGCGGGCTCACTGCTTGGCTTTTGTGCGCAAGCAGTGATCTAAAAAGTTTTAATGGGTTTGGGCGTTCATGGTGTATGGTTTCTACCGAGCTAGCCCACTAGAAGGTACTTACAGAGATATTGGGTAGAGTTTCCTAAGATACAAATTTGCAGATATATGCAAGATACAGCCAAATGTTTTCGAGTCTCCCTTGTTCATTTTTGGTGCGTTGAGTAATTCCTAGGACTCTTATCTCACTGGTTTACTCTTACTGTAAATGCTGCATCATAGTTTTGAGCACCTCATGGGTTCGACCGTACTATGGCACCAGAGTCGGTACTATATCTTAAGGCATCGCTTTCAAAGCAGGGAAACCAGACTATAATTACCCAGATTAGCTACCCTGGCAAACAACGTAAAAGTGAGAAGATTTGAGTACTCAATCTCAATTAGCTGTATGCAGGTAGCCCTCTAGGTCACATGCTCCTTTCTCTGAGATTGGAGTAGCCTATCATGTGCCTATTAGCGGTGAATGACGTATCAATTTGCATGCGCTCCCCTGGCTCGCCCAGAAGGCGCTAGCTCGAGCCATGGGGTATAAGTCAGGTGTAGCCTTACCGCTGTCCACGCTACAACAACATTTCAGACCTACCCAATCGACTCTCATAGATTCTTCAACAGGAAGTAACTCAGATATTATCCCAGCAAGGGCGCCATGGAGTACGTGGGACATACAGGCTCCGCCTCCATGTTGGTACTGCGCCTCACCAATGTCCACATGCAGGCAGACAAGAGGACGATATGCAGGTATTTCGACGGGTACAGGATCCTAGACCAGATCCGTGCGATGAATCCAAAGACTCGGACTCGTTCCGCCGTTTACGTCATGTTCGGATCGGTCGAGGATAAGAACCGCGCTCATAGAACCCTCAATCTTGGGACAATTCTTGGTCGCCAGATTCATCTAATGCCTGCCCAAAACGGCAATTATCGCAGTAAGTCTTATGCTATGCTGTTATTAGCCGATGTTGACAGTACCATCTAGTTAACTGCACCCACAATGGATTTGTTCACGATGAAGACAAGGGCCCCGCTGTCGTCACTACATCAGAGCTACCGGCGTTGAACGTTCTCTCAGGATCGGAGTTTCCAGTGCTGGGAAGGTCAACCCCTGTTTCGTCTCTGTCCATGAACCTACCCATGGAATTTGTTCACCATGAAGACAAGGGTCCCGCTGTGTTCGCTACATCAGAACCACCAGCATTGGATGTTCTCTTAGGCTTAGAGCTTCCGGTGATGGGAAGACCTATATTTGTTTCTTCTCGACCGATGAACCTACCCAGGGGCATACCTATACCCATGCATGGAAGCCCTGAGTATGTGGCCTCCAATTCTTGTGCTTCACACCAGAAGCGTGATGAAGTTGTAAACAGAATTGGGCCCGTCGACACTCTTCCGAAAGAAGTCACTCCTGGGGGCGTCGACGAACCTGCAGCAATGACTGATGCGCCTCTGAAGCGAGACGAACCTGCAGTGATGAAGGATTTGCCTAAGAAGCGAGAGGAACAGAAGCCTTCTCACGAGCAACCTGTAGTCTTCAGCGGCATCGAACAGGGTACATTCTCCCGTCAAATGCCACCTTCAGCCGAAAAAACCTCAAAGCCGGACCCCTTATACGCTCATGCCTCCGAGAACTGGTTTCTCAACCTGCCAAAAGTCGTGCAAGACTATTACAGCTCCTTCGGCCTCCCACCACCAAACCCAGCATTCTTGGATCCGACCGTCAACGCCGTACCTAACCCGCCTCCCCCCCGCGGAGACTTCTTCAAACCCGCTCTTCTCCATACCCCACCCCGCGACGACTTCTCCAAACCGACTCTTGGCCATACTTCCAACCCCGACATCCGTGAGAACGAAAACACAGGCGAGCCGGTCACCGATACCGTCCCCAAGGAGAAGGATATACTGATAGAACCCCTTGGTGGTCTATGGAACCTTTCAGGCAATGATGATCCAACTGCCAATGTCATCTGTGAGAGCGAATGGTACACTTCCGTGCCTCATCTGATGGCCAGGAATTTGGATGCTCTGGACACAATTTCCAGGCGGATTGATCGAGAAGGAGGACATGGAGGAGGTAGTGGAGACTTCGGTAGTGAGTTACATGTGACCTTATCCCTGCGTTGAGTTACAAGCGGCCTTCTCATCCGTGGGCTGATTCATAGGCGGTCTATGATCCCTGGGTGAGTTTCAGGCGATGTTCTCATCCCTGGGTATTCTTAGTGGTGGATCTTGAGATTTTCGGTTGCATAATGTGAAGGCTATTTATGCGTTGATATAGGGATGCTCGTACGAATTGTATCTAGAATATCACACGTAGGCCAAGCAAGGACAACTGAGCAGCACCGTTGGATAAAGCATGCCCCTTGTTTCAAGATGAATGTGTATAAAATTTATTAAAAGCCGAGGCGGAAAACAATTGCGGTCACAGTCTATACTGACATTGATGCTCAATGCACCAACCGAACTAAACAAAACATACGAAAATTGGAGTCGGTACCGATGAAGAGTGCAATTTCTATGCAAGTGCGTATTGGCTAATTTTTCGTTCTAATGCCAAGAAAAAAAGAGATATCATAGCAGTTGCAGCAACCTAAGCCGTGTTGAAGTGAGGCGCATTAAGAATAATGCCCATAGAGAGACCACCGATTGTACCAGCAATAGGAATAGTCATGATCCAAGAAAACACCAAGAGACCAACTCGCTGCCAGTTGACAGCCTTGTAGGTACCGTTGCAGAGACCGACTCCGACGGTGGCGCCGGTGATGCACATGGATGTTGAAACGGGGAGGGAGTATTGCGAGAAGATGAGGACGGTAAGCGCGGCACCCATTTCCATGGAGCAACCTGTTGCGAGTTAGTATATGTAAGATATTATATGCAGATGAATGCGGTGACGTACCTCTGCTAGGAGAGTGGTAGGTAATTTTGTTGCCCATGACCTTCATGATGTTGTAGCCGTAGGTGATGAGACCAAGAGATAGGGTTGCCGAGAGAACAGCAAGTTGCCAGAGCGGAACAGGTGCTTTTGACTGCGCAGCATTTCCCGTGTTCCAGGCACTGTAGATGACGGCCCAGGGTCCAACAGCGTTACCAATATCATTGGCACCGTGAGCGAAGGAGGCAGTACAGGCAGTGAGAACCTGAACAAAAGAATAGGTGTGCTCGACCTCGTTGGGATACTTCTTAGCGTGGGCGTAAACACGCTCCATGCGTTTACCTTCGGGAGTACCATGGATACCAGTCTGAGCAGCGTGAATGTCGTAGTTGAGACCATAAAGGCAGCCGACCAACAGCATGGCGGGAATACGTTTCAGTGTGATGACCATGTTCTTCTTCTCATAGATCTCGCCAGTCTGGATCTTGTTCTCGTGGAGATAGCGCATTGCCCAGCCGAGAAGATCATTTTTAGACCTGAGCTTGGCGTGAAAGCGTTCCTGGCCTTGTGCGACAAGTTCCTTGTAACTGAGCTGGCGATGCTCCTCGACTACGACCCCCTTCTCAGTCTCGGTAGCAATGCCAATGTCTGAGTCGCTGCTGTGCTCGGGCTTTATTTCATCGTCATCCTGTACAACAGCGTAGTCGGGGACAACGGCAGCGTCGACATTGTCTTGAGCGGGGCGTTTGAACAGAAGCGGTCCTTGAATGACATGGTACCAACGTACAGTGGCGTCGCGCTTCACAACCTTGGCGTACAGGTAGGGAACGAAGAACACAAATGACAGAAAGGCGAGACCGAAACCACACGAAAGGGTAACGGCAGCGACATACCATGCTGGCTTCTTGTTTAGACCGAGATTAGGTGACCCCTTGTAGACGATCGAAAGTGTGCAGACGGTTCCGGCGACGAGGAAGAAAAAGGGTGCGGTCCAGATGGCCCAAGGAATGGGGTTTTTGCGGAGATGAACCGTCAGCTTGATCAACATGTAGATGATAGCCCCGAAGCATGCGGAAGCGGCGGGGGCCATTCCAAGACCAGCGAAAATAGCACCGAGACCCTTGCCCTTATTCCATCCCCATTGGACGTTGGAAGCACCTGCGACTGCAACACCGACGCCAGCGACAGAGGAAATGAGCGAGTACGATGAGGAGACGTGAGCGGAATGTTTGGTGCACCACATGACCCACAGGGATGCACCAGCGAGGGCGCACGTAAAAGCCAGCATTTGAACACCGGCATCGCCCTTGAAAGCGCTGGTGGGAATAATTCCGTTCTTGATGGTATCAGCAGTTCGGGCGCCGACGGTGATGGCGCCCACCATCTCGAAGATCGTACCGAGGATCATGGCCTGGCGGTAGGAGACGGAGCGTGAGGAGACGGAGGTAGCCCATGCGTTTGCGACATCGTCTGCAACTTGTTAGCATTGTAGCATAGAAGTTCTCGGAATGGGTACGTACTAGCACCGTTGTTGTATGCATCTAGCATGGCAAAAAAGGTGCCAATAGCGAACACATAATTGTACTGCGTGAGACGCGCCATCCTGATCTTCTCTTAGGACAGCTGCGCTCCTGAGAAGTAAGGGATTTTGAACTGATGTAAAGCTGGGATGATATCCAAGGGGGGATGTGTCAGACGTATATATATGGAAATCTCATGACAGGCATCTGTGATGATTCCGCCCCGTATTGACGATCCGCGTCCAGACATGTCGAAAAATGGACTATATCCATGGAATGTCATTCTATGCCAGGTAGCTGCAGCGAAGCTCCGCCGCCACTCAGAGTGCGCAACGTGAGAGCACACGCCAAGAGAACGTGAGTTGAACACAGCTATGCTATTGGTAGAGTAGGGCGCACGTGGAGGGTGTACATAGAAGTATTGGCCAAAACTAACAATGTCAACGGCATTAAGCGAAGGACTTGGTAACCTGTAATATCTCCAAAGAGATATCAAGCCGGTGCCAACGTTTTCTACGTCTCTTCGGTGAATCTTGGCTATAGCTTGGCGGTACGGCGGAGAAGCTGAGTGTCAATGAGCTAACCAATGAGAGGAATAGATACAGAACGTGGGCTCAATGAAGCCTACGAGACGTCTCATGGTCAAAACCTCAAACTCACCAAGCTCATGTTCCCCTACCCGCTCCCCACGTGTAATGGTAGCCCGCCCTTCGATTTGTGTGCCAGGAAAGATTTCTAGCGCTGAGCATTAAATGTCAACATTGCATTCGACATGACAAACATTGTGGCTATGTCTTCTAACCAATGCTGAGCTTGGGTATCCGTCCGCTCATTGATACTGCAGCCCTACGATGCCGAATGCCCACAGATCAAAATGAAGAAATCACTCGTTCCAAGTGCTTGGTAAGATGCCATCCAACATACCGGTAGCATACCAATACGCACCTCAGCTCATGTCGCCACATGCAAAAACGGCTAAAAGCTTAAGACAGCTGCTTGGTACGCGTTCCGAGATTGGCAGGTCGCACTGTCTGGACTGTCCGGCCGAGTTTTTGCCCGTTGTTCGGAAATCCAGTCGCAATTGAGGGACATGTCCACGACAAGGCGTCAAGACATGGAAGTTTCAGAGCGCCTACGCTTGCCGTAGAATTACCGCTGTTGGTCCCTTGGCAAGGAAGCTCCAAGTGGATGATCAAAGATAATGCCGCAACTAGTCGCAATACTGGTCGCAGTCGTGCTGAATTGATTCGATCTCGACATTGCGCAGAAGAACGAGTGAGATTCTGAGCAAGGTGCCTTCAAGATCCTGTCAGCCTAAAGCACAGGGACCGTAAGAGGGCCGGTGTCTAGACGGAAGGTTCAGCGCCAGTTGGGAGACCTGGCCATTAGTGAATGTAACGAGCAACGAGCCGGTTTAGCCTCGGGATGTGCTACACGACCCATATCCGAGGAACTTGCTATGGGCATTTCCAAACTTCGTCAACGCCAGCTGTTCTTCAACTTCGAAGGCGCATCTGCCTCGCGATTGATGATCGGCTCTGAACAGCGACAAGGCTCCTCGTTGTTCGAGACTCTAGCGCGTCAGCATAGAACTCTATATCCTCCTTTTTCCCGGGAGACGCGCAGGTCATCCCGCAAGACATGTTCCTCCATGGCAAGTTATCGCCGCGGGAATGGATAGATGTGTCCTAGTAAGAGGAAGTCGCATACCATATATCAATGTTAATAAACGTGTAACATGATCCATGGGCGAGCGGCGCACACGGGCGAGCGGCGCACCCCACCAACTTTACTCACCTTACTGATCTTAATCTACAATGGCTCAACGCAGCGCTACTCAATTACTATCAAATGAAGCAGATATTCAGCTTGCTATCTCATCTATTAATGCGCACCAGATCCAAGGTACCCGTACTGCTGCAGTAGTCTACAACGTAGCCGAAACAACGCTCCGCCGCCGACGCGCTGGTATACCTGCCCGACGCGATTGCCCGCCCAACTCAAGGAAGCTTACCCAGAGAGAAGAGGAGGTGATTATTAGCTATATACTTCAGCTAGATCTGCGTGGATTTGCGCCTACCTACACAGCTGTACGTGATATGGCTGATAAGCTGCTGGCTGCGCGTGGTGGAGAGCAGGTTGGAGTCAACTGGCCATCTACCTTTGTTAAGCGTACAGACAGTCTTCGGACGTGTTTCAACCAAGCGTACGATAGGCAGAGAGCTCTTTGTGAGGATGCAACATTAATAAAGAGGTGGTTTAAGCTTGTAGAAGAGACAAAGGCTGAGCTAGGTATCTGCGATGAGGACGTCTACAACTTTGATGAAGCTGGCTTTATGATGGGCAAGATTACAACGCAGCTAGTTATAACAGGAGCAGAGAGGAGAGGCAGGCCGAAGAGTATTCAGCCAGGCAATCGCGAGTGGGTAACGCTGATCGCTGCTATCAGCGCTGCTGGCTGGTCAGTCCCACCGTTCCTCATCTTCGCTGGCCAGTACCACCTATCAGCCTGGTATAAGGAAGCTGAGATCCCACGCGACTGGGCGATCGCAGTCAGCGATAATGGCTGGACGAATAATGAGCTTGGAGTTGAGTGGCTAAAGCACTTCAACGCTCACACGCAGGCTCGTAGTGTAGGCGCGCGTCGCCTGCTTATTATTGATGGCCATAAGAGCCACCAATCTCTAGAGTTCCAGGAGCTCTGCAAGGAGAACAATATCCATACGCTCTGTATGCCTCCTCACTCATCTCACCTACTCCAGCCACTTGATGTTGGCTGCTTCTCGCCATTGAAGCGCGCGTACAGCCGTGAGGTGGAGAGCCTTATGCGCAACCACATCAACCACATCACCAAGCTAGAGTTTCTGCCAGCGTTCAAGGCAGCATTTGATCAAGCGTTCACGCCAGCCAATATCTGCTCAGCCTTCCGCGGCGCAGGCCTTGTTCCTCTACAACCAGAGGCTGTTCTATCAAAGGTAGATGTACAACTGCGTACACCTACTCCTCCAGCAGCTCTGCCAGAGGCTCCCTGGGTAGCTCAAACGCCGAGCAACGCGCGTGAGCTTGAGGCTCAGTCAAGCCTAATACGTGAGCGCGTGCGCCAGCACAAGAGCTCATCACCAGCTTCAATTATTATGGCGATTGACCAGCTAAAGAAGGGCGCCGAGGTGATGATGCTCTCTGCTGAGCTGATGCGCGATCGGATCTCTAGTCTTGAGAAGGCCAATAGCGCAGCCTCAGAGCGTAGGCGGCGCTCTAAAAGGCGTATACAGAAGCATGGAGTACTCACAAAGGGAGCTGGAGAGGATATACTGGCTCAAAATGAGGCTGACCAGCAGATTGCTCATGAAGAGCGTCAAGGAGGAGCGCGATCAGGCCTCAGCCAGCGGGCTCAAAGGCGCTGCACTAGGTGCAAGGAGACTGGGCACAACTCGCGCACATGCAAGACTGATACTATTAATATAGAGTAATCTACTGTATCAATATCTAGCAATAATATTATCGCGTTGTTGAGATGCATCGCTTTAAAGTTGCAAAAGTTGGTGGGGTGCGCCGCTCGCCCGTGTGCGCCGCTCGCCCATGGATCATGTTAACAGTTTGAGGGGTTGAACAAAGCCGATTGTGCGTGGTGGGCGCTGATTCGGAACTTCGGAACGACGCAAGGATAACTAGTTAACTTACGTACACCGCAAGAGCACCGAGCCCTGGGGAAGTCGACAACTACACCACGATATCTGTTAAAGTCTCGCAACAACGTACGGGTATCCGCCTTTATATGCGATGGCCAGCACAAAAGCTATGTCGTCCAGGGCAGCCCATGTAGCCCCTTGTTCTCCCCAGGCGCCAGTGTGCCGACTTCCGGTTTGTTTCCCACTGGCCACCTTGAGGATCACCAAGCCTTACTGTAAACTTCATAATGCACGATTGAGACCTCTCTCATCGCGATCGCGTCTTGAATTTCGTGCTTTGTCGCGCCAATATAGGATCGAGCACAACAATAGGTGTCGATGACACTAATTGGTGAGCGTGCACATGTAGTTGGCACTGGAGAGCTCTTGGAGACATTTCTATCCGCGTGCACTATACTACTTCAGGCTTGCACACGCTCCAACGTGTCATTGGAGAGGCCAAACACGGCATCAAGCTTCTGCTGGCAGGCGGACAGAGGAGTCTGGTACTCCTTATCTGGCCATTCCGTCACGAAGTGGGGAGAAGACGTGCTTGCGTGTCTATGCATGACAGTCGCCCGAAATCCGATAGCGGCACAGCAAAGATCATGTCACGAGCCTGCCAAGATACAGTGGATAGTTTCGTATGTAGACATACTTTAATAGATGGATTCAAGAGGATTGCATAGTTCAGGAATGTTTGGAAGACATCAAAGCAGCTCATACCAGTTCACTAGACTCTTGATTACGTAATGTCCCCAAATCCGGTAATCCCCGCTGCGGACAAAGTCACGCCAGAAGCAAAGACAGCAACCTCTAAGCAACGCGTCGCGCAACTCACTGGACACCTCACACCGCCAGCAGAGAAGCAGAATGTGAACAATCATCCCAATCTGAACATACCATACCCGGTTTCCAAATTCCAGATCGATCCAAATCGCTACATCGACAATGTGCGAGAGATCAAGGTTGCCGTCATTGGCGCTGGACTTTCCGGCATCAGTGCCGGCATTATACTACCAGCCAAAGTTCCAGGACTCAAATTGACCATCTTCGAGAAGAATAGCGATGTGGTAAGTTTCCCAATGCCCTGCTTTTTCAACTTTGTCTAACGTAACCTCAGAGCGGGACATGGCTGGAAAATAACTATCCAGGTGTGCGATGTGATATACCTGCTCACGTCTACCAATCAACATTTTCGCCAAACACCCAATGGTCCGAAATCTTTGCACAAGGGGCTGAGATTCGAGACTATTGGCAAGCTCAAGCTAGGAAACATGATGTGTACAAGTACATCAAATTACGGCATCGTGTAGACGAAGCTGAATGGGATGGCGCAAGTTCCCAATGGAGTTTGAAGGTACAGGATCTGGAGAAAGAGAAGGTGACTACTGAGAGCTTTGATTTTGTCATCACCGCAATCGGACGATTCAATGCTTGGAAGTTGCCCGACTATCCGGGTCTGGACGAGTTTCAAGGCCATTTGAGACATACATCAAATTGGGATCCTTCATTCGATCCAAGAGGCAAGAAAGTCGCCGTTATCGGAAATGGTGCAAGCGGAATTCAGGTGGTCCCAAACCTGCAGCTAGTATCCAAACAAGTCACGCACTTTGTACGGAATCCCACATGGATTGCAACATCGTGGGCGGGCGATGAACGAACTTTCGAACCTCAGCCTTATCCCGAAGAACAGCGAAAATCGTTTCAAGATCCACAGACGTACCTCAATTTCCGTAAAGAGCTTGAAGACAGGTACTGGAGAGGCTTTCGCGCCATGGTACGCGGTTCCGAGGAAAACGCTGGGATAACGGAGCAATTTACCGAAGTCATGAAAAAGCGCTCAGCAAAGAAACCAGAACTTCTTGATGGGCTTATACCATCGTTCTCGCCACATTGCAGGCGCTTGACACCTGGTCCAGGCTACCTGGAGTCACTAACAGAAGACAATGTGCAGCTTGTCAAAACTCCCATCAAACGCTTCACACAGACCGGTATAGAGACAGTAGATGGGAAGAATTTCGACTTTGATGCCATACTATGTGCTACAGGTGCAAACACAGACCTCGTTCCTCCTTTCCCTATCAAGGCGCACGGGGAGGATTTGAACAAATCTTGGAAACCCGATGGTCAATGGGGCTTCCCATATACGTACATGGGAATAGCAACCCCCGGTTTCCCGAATCTCTTCTTTCTGGCTGGTCCCCATGCTACAGGACCCTCCGGTACCGTTCCGCAAGCTGTCGAAACTGCACTTGCATACTTCGCCAAAGCTTTCCGCAAAGCATCTTCACAAGGAATCAAAGCTATGTGGCCCTCAAAAGAGGCGACTGACGATTTTATCGATTACTGCGACGCTTTCTTCCCCACTACAGTGCTAACGGATAACTGCTCCTCATGGAACAATGGTGGCCTCCCTGGTCAGCGTATTCATGGGCTGTGGCCAGGTTCAGCAGCTCACATTACTATTGTCAGACGTGAGCCACGGTGGGAAGACTGGGAGTATGAACGAGAAGATAAACTCAATCGTTTCGCGTACTTTGGGAACGGCTATACACAGGCAGAGCTGGATGAGTCCAGAGACCTTACTGCGTATCTGAGACCACCTCAAGAAGTTGACCTCAAAGATCTACATGAGAAGTGGTGGGATCTTCCAGGGGCGCAGAAGAAGTCATGACCTTTCCTTATCGGGTAGTTTGCAAGTTTCGCGTTACATGTTGTGCTTTCCTCGTGCGCACGTGATTCACACATATCTTCATCTTAGTCAACGTAGTCGTCAACATAGTCTTAACCCAGCCTCATCCACGCAACCCCATCTCGATGCCAGATAAACGCCCCTCCACGCACTGACCATCACCCTTTGAAACCGGAAGCCACCACACCGAATCTTAAATCACAACATGTGCTCTCCGAATTCCGTCAGCGACAGCATCCTCATCCCATTCGAACCACAACGACTCCAACAAACCCAGCTACCCCGCTTCTACCATCTCACGGCCCTGCCCTGCATACGCACAAGTGGAGAAACCGAGAGTCAAAGGACCCTCCGTACCGCGTATCCCGCGCCAAATGGCGTGCTATCACCTCAAATTGTCGACACGCATGAATCGGGCCGAAAAGCAAACCAAACTCACCCGCCCTCATCTCCAACACACAACACGGCGGATAATCGCACACCGTTTTTTACGCCCAAACGCAGGATTATGCGTCCCGATTACCGGAGGAAGGCAGGGCCGTTTGCTATGGTTATCACGGCGCCGGCATCCATGTAGTCGGGATGACGGCGTACGCATGCAAAAGCACGCCACTTGGGCGGGTTAGAGCACGTTGCTGTGGTTGGCTTCAGAAGCGAGACAGATGATGGGGAGGGCATGGGTAGGTGAGAGTAGGCGTGGGCTTTTGTATGTAGAGTTTACTTTCCTGCGTTACTTGAGGGATTGAAGTTGGTAGGGAGGCTTATTGTTGCTATCTTCTTTCTGGAGAAGGGTTGCCACGTATTTTCGCATCGCTATACCTTCCTACGCCCAGTGGCAGCAACAGAATCAGCATGGCGGATACCGACAAGATTCCGTCTGTAGAGTCGGCGAGCGATGTTAGTGTTCAGCAGAGACGCGATTATCCAGGTTCGTTTGTTACGTGTCTTGAACCGTCTGTTCTTTTGCCAGAACTACACTTTCTAACTGCCAAAAAAACAGTACGATGGTACCGATCCACGTTCTTCAACATCACTGTTCTCGGATTATGCAACTTCAGCGCACCAGGAATATGGGGCGCAATGAACAGTCTAGGAGCTGGAGGCGCGCAGTCACCGCATCTGGTGAATGCCGGGAATGCGCTTACGTTTTGCTTGATGGTGGTGAGCTGTTACTTTAGCAGTGTGATTGTTAAGTATGTTGGAATCAAAGGTGCTTTGATGTTAGGAACGTAAGTTTTCCATCTCCACTGGCAAATCCAGGTTTGGTCGATTAATGTTTTGTTTAGGGTTGGATACGCGCCTTATGCTGCTGCTCTTGTACGTCTTCTTCTCTTCCCACCTCTCTCCCCAAATCTCCGGCTTTCTACCCAGCATCTTTATCTTCTAACACTCACACGCAGTACACCAACAACCGCTTCGGCACAGAATGGTTCATCTACCTCGGCTCCTCTCTCTGTGGTCTCTCCGCGGGCCTCTTCTGGATGGCCGAAGCCGCAATCGCAATCGCCTATCCCGAACCCTGGAATAAAGGAAAAGCACTCGGCTACTGGCTCACCTACCGTCTCGCCGGCCAGATCCTCGGCGGCGCCATAAACCTAGGCCTTAACGCCGACCGCGACCAGGCTGGTAAAGTCACGTATACCGTGTATCTCATCTTTATCGCGCTGCAGTGTATTGGACCTGTGGTCGGATGGTTCCTGAATAAACCGGATCAGGTGGAGCGAAAGGATGGCAAAAAAGTGGTGTTGAGAATTGCCAAGGATCCATGGTTTGAACTCAAAGAGACAGCGAGACTGTTTTGTACGAAGAAGTTCTTGTTGATCTTGTTGTGGATTGGACAGGCGGTTTTCGCTGAGGCGGTGTATTTTACGTATCTGGCCTGTGAGTATCTCCATTTCATATCAAATGAAAAGATAACCTTTACTAACGAGAGAAAAGTATGGTTCTCCGTCCGCGCCCGAGCCCTAGGCTCCTTCCTCTCCGGCATCATCGCCGTAATCTGCGGCAACCTCCTAGGCGCCTACCTCGACCGCACAACAATCGCCCTGCGAACCCGCGCCCGCACCTCCTTCTTCGTCATCGCTATCTTACAAGGCGCCTGGTGGCTCTGGGCGACGATCCTAGTAACGCAATTCCGCGACTCGCAGCCCACGTACGACTGGGCGTCGCACGGTTTTGGCCGCGCCTTCGCCGTCTTCATCTTCCTAACCGTCGGGTTCCAGCTGAACTACCTGTTTTTGTACTTTGTGATTGGGAATCTGGCGGAAGATGAAGAACAGGTTATTCGGTATGCGGCGCTACTTAGGGGCACGGAGAGTGCGTGGCAGGCGGTTAGTTATGGAGTTACTAGTATTAAGGTTTTTGCCGAGGTGGGGGGTGTGTATTGGAATTTTGCGCTTTGGGGGGTGTCGCTTTGGCCGGCTTGGGTGGTGATTAGTGGGTTTGGGGAGAAGTTGACGGCGATTGAGCAGGTGGATGAGGTTATTGTTAAGAGGGATGGAGAGAGAGAGGGAGGGCGTGGGGTGGGGAAGTTGTGAGATGGTTGTGGTAATGTGGGGGATAATAATGTGGTGTGCTTGTAGAGAAGTATCTGTTAAGCTAGTGAATGTAGATCTGAAAGATTGTAATGTATATACTGCACCAAGTGTTCGCTATGTAATCGATGGAAAAAGCGTTGCGAATTTTGTTATATACTGATGCAACCTTCGTATACTGTAACCTAAATACATCTAACGAAACACAAGAAACCGCCCACGCTCATCTAAACCCCATCTATCACTTTTCAGCCCCTCAATCAAGAACAGCAACTAATCTCCCCCCACTAATCTCCCTCCTCCTCATCCGATCTAACCCCGCATTAATCCCATCCAACCCCTTGACAACCCCCACAACATCCGGCGGCACCAAAAGACCCTTAAGTAGCAACCTCTCACACCACGCGCTCAGCTCCTCACCCACTTCAGGCACCTCGTGGTAAAGCTTAATCGGAACACTATGTAGTACAACACCTTCTGGCAGATCCGTCTTGGGCAAGCCCGTCATACCCACCAAATGCGAGCGCAGTACCTGCGGCTTCTCATCTAGCGGAGTAGACGGCGGAGTCGGAGGTTTAGCACCGGCGCGAGATGGCAGTTTGGAATTTTCGTTTGGATGAGCCAGTGAACTGAGGAGATGGGCGGCTGTTTCCTTGCCGATGGTGTCGAAACCGAAACGCGCTGTATTGCCCGTGCTGGCGCGAATAATGTCGATAGCGCGCTGTGGGTCATGCGAGTCCACGATAAGATCACTACGGATGCGATCCGTGGTCGAGAGACGGAGTCCATGTTTCGCCGTATCAACCACAGAGATGATTCTCAAGCCGGCGAGACGTGCGAGTTGCTTTGCCACATGTGCGCAGGTTGAGCTGCCGCCCCAGACTACGAGGAAATCTCCTGGCTTGGCGCGTTCAGTGGTCGAGATGCTGGAAAGACATTCTTGACGAATATCCACTGGGAGCGATTCTGGATCTACCTTTCGGACGGTTTCGAGGAGGTTGGGGCCGTTTTCAATGTCGGAGAAGTTGACGCCCATGCATATTCCTAGGGCGAGTACGGCGGATACGAAGGCTACGCCGATAATGCTGCCGGAGTTTACAGAGATGTCTCGTGGGATCCGGATGGTGTTGAAGGAGGAGGCGATGCTGTATTGTTGGTAGGCAGCCTTGCGGAGGTCACGGTAGTCGGTTGATGGCACGGTTACAAGGTCGCCGGGCTGTAACCGAGAGGGCGAAGTAGTGCCTACTTTGATGACGGTGCCGGCAAACTCGCGACCTGCTATGTATGGCAGTGTTGGGATGCCAAAACCGAAATCACTTTTCGATGTTAGCAGACGTAGATACAGCAGTGACGCCACGTTCAAAACTTACGGGGCTTTCCAATCGATTGGGTTTAGTCCTATGGCTTCCACCCTGACCAACAGCTCAGTCCCAAGCTTGATGACTGGAGTGGCATGGCTTGTGGCGAGGTCATATGGTTGACGAGCTGCATGCAACAACAACGCATGTTGTCGTTCAGGCGGCCGTGGTACTGATTTCCTTCGCTGAAATTCGTCTTGTACCTTCATCCTCTTATCAGGCAAAGATCTCGTAGGCGAACGAGCCGCAGAACTTCTTGTGCGTTTCTTCGACAATGCCATGATTAATGGTGATATACCAGACTCGAATGAGATTATTCAAATGCGTTCAAAAGACAAACACCCACGCCAAAATCATGCTATACGGATTGAATGCCGACAGTCCACGCAACGCCTTTTCGCATCATAAAGGGTATCCATTGCGCGTTTTGAGCTAGACAGGGCTATGCATTCGATCCATTTGCATGCGTGCGTGCGAGAGAACATTGGGTGGAGCAAGAGGATTGTCGCAATTGTGGAGTAGTCTGGCGTGGCACGGTAGCGGGGTAAGATGGCGACGAAGGGCCGATTTGTATTGCCAACAACACGTACTGCAGTAGTGGAGTAGTTCCTATATCGGAGAGAACAGTTGGCAAGATGCGAGCCGGGCAGCTTTCACCCGTTTCGGATGTAGTTGGGGTTGCAGATAAGCGATGGCGTTAAAGGCGGTTGAAAGCACACCATCCGCTTCAACCTACCACCATCTGTCTCGGCGACATTTACCAGCAAACGTCCGAACCCCCACAATCTCCAACCATGGCAAAGAGGAAGCGAGAGAATGGCAGTGAAGCTGCGAAGAATGGAAGGCGGAGGAGTGGAAGAGGGAAGCCTGGCAAGAAATTGATCATCAATGCCTTCGTGGAAATGTGTAAGTTCACATGAATATGTAAAGCCTCCTGGCAGCATTAGTGTACTCTCCGCGCGATGATCGCCCAGGCAGTGTTGGTAAACTAATTTGAGGTGGCATACAGGCAGTGGGCACCAGTCGCCGGGGATGTGGAGGCATCCCGATGACCATTCCCACGAGTTCAACGACCTCGACCATTGGGTAGACCTTGCAAAACTGCTGGAAGAAGCCAAGGTCCATGGCATATTCATAGCTGACGTTCTCGGTGGCTACGATGTGTACAATGGCAATCTTGATGCGGCAATAACATCTGGTGCTCAGTGGCCAGTCAACGAGCCGTTGGCGGTCATCAGTGCAATGGCTGCAGCGACCAAGAGCATTGGATTCGGTGTGACAGTGTCGACTACTTATGAGCAGCCATATCATTTGGCTCGACGACTCTCAACTGTCGACCATTTGACCAAGGGCCGGTATGTTGGCAATATTCCCTTGCTTACCACCGCGTTCATTTACTGATTCTTGATAGACTAGGCTGGAATGTAAGCAGCCAATCATCAGTCAGGGAGACATATAATAACATCATAGATCGTGACGAGCTATCTAGACTCGGCTGCGAGGAATATGGGCATGAAGCAGCAGTTGCCAGTGAGTGTGCTCGCTCTTGAAGATTCGTCGCTAATTTGGGAAGCACGATGAACGCTACGCCCAAGCTGAGGAATACGTCAAAGTGATGTACAAGCTCTTTGAGTCTTCCTGGAGAGATGACGCCGTTGTCCTAGATCGAAAGAAAGGAGTGTACACCGTGCCAGACCGGGTTCGACAGATAGACCACCAAGGCAAGTACTTCCAAGTACCCGGACCACATATCTGCCAGCCCAGTCCTCAGCGAACACCATTGATCCTGCAAGCGGGCGCCTCAAAAGCAGGTAAAACCTTTGCAGCGCAAAATGCAGAAGCAATCTTTGTTTCTGCGCACGCCCCGGTGGTGTGCGCAAAGAATATTGCTGAAATCAGGGAAATTGCTTCATCGCAGTTCGGCAGAAATGGCAGTAGCATCAAGTTCCTCGCCCTTGCTACCCCTATCCTAGGGAGAACAGAAGCGGAGGCACAGGCGAAGCTTGCAGATTATCGCAAGTATGCGTCATTGGAGGGTGCCCTAGCACTCTTTTGCGGTTGGACCGGGATTGACTTGGGCAAGTACGGCGATGAAGAGGAGTTGCGACAGGTTGAGAGTAATGCAGTGCGCTCGACGGTGGAAGGATTTGCTCGCTTCTCGCCCGGTACATCCAAATGGACCAAACACACAGTGGCAGAGCACATCAGCATTGGTGGCATTGGACCCCTTTTCGTCGGTACGCCGTCACAGGTGGCAGATGGATTCCAGACATGGGTGGACGAAGCCGATGTGGATGGCTTTAACATCGTAGGTTAAACCCCTTTTGTGCATAGCTGTGGAGCTAATGCATGTACAGGCATATGCACTCTTTCCCCAGTCTTTCAAGGATGTTGTGGAGCTACTGCTTCCAGAGTTGAAGAAGCGTGGGATGTTTTGGGAAGACTATGCAGTGCCCAGCGGCACGTATCGAGAGAACTTTTATGCAACCAAGGGACAGAAAGGGCCTCTAGACGAGCATGTGGCGTCGACTTATCGATGGAAAGTGGGAGTTGACGCCAAGGACCACATCATCCCAGAATAGATCGTGTAATGACTACCGTCACCCCGGCTTGTGAACTGAATTCGAATGTAAGCAAAGATTAAGAGTCATGAAAGACGGTGACGGACAATTGTCACAACAGGATTAAATATTACGTTCGGGGTATGACTCATTAGAATGAATGCAAAAGACGCGCAACACATACTGCCCCTGGCTCCTGAACTATATTCGACTCTCCTAGTATCCAACACCCACCTCACCCGGGAAACTCGCCCAGAAGTCTTGTGTGGCATTCACCATCATGGCTTCCAGCTCTTCATTCGTCAAGTCAAACGGATCCAGATTGAACGTTTCATCGGCTTCCAACGGTGGAACGGCCGGCGGTGTGTTCCACGGGAAACCGTTTGCGTAGCCGTTTGGCGTCGGCGTCGGCGTTGACACGGGCATAGGACTGGTGATTTGTGGATTTGTGATATTGGCAATCATCGGTTTGCGCTGCAGGTAGGTTAGTAGAGGAGCGTGGTAGGATGGGCTACTGCTTACGTCGTTGGGGTGTTGTGATGGTGACCTGCCGGCCATGATGGTGTCGTTGGTCTGGTGTGAGTTCGCTGGCTTCTGTACTGGCGACGGCTGTAGTGCGCCGTAGTCAATCATAGCATGGCGCAAAGCTTGCCGCTCTTCGGGTGAGGCCGGCCCGTCCTGACCTAGGATGGAGCGGTAGTATGCCTGCATGCGTCTGATAGTGTCGAACCATGTTTCGGCCATGGGCCACTGCGTCTTCATCTCTTTGAGGAAGTTGCAGCCCTGGATGACGCTTTTGCGCGCCTTTTCCTGGCACCGAGGGTCGTCCTCGTTACTGGGAAAGTTGAACGAGTAGAGCATGGCGCCGACGGCGGTATATATGGTGAAGCCGATCCACGGCACCAAGCCTCGCAGGAAGTAGACGCCGAATGTGCGCATCTCCTCGAGCATTTCCAGCACCATGACCGAGTCCTTGAACAGGGCCTTGCGGGACGACTTCTCCCACCGCTTCCACATGTCTCTGTGCTCATTGTATGAGTTTGGCGTCTCCTCTGGGCCCGAGTCGTTTTGCTGTGGACCCAGGACGGGAAGGTAGGCGCGATGGAGGAACATGTAGCTCATAAAGTGTATGCAGTGCATGTAGCAGTAGGCCTGGCCTTGCTCAACGGCATTGTGGCTGTGGAGGGTGAAGAGGTCGTACTGCAGCCGCTGGGGAAGCGACGACTTCCAGCCCTCGAGCTCGTAGATGAGGTGCTGGAACTGTGACGTCGACGCCCACGGCAGCTCACTCTTCAGGTCTTCCGAGCAGGCCCAACGCGCGACCTTGCCCCAGATATTGGCCGCGCGCATGCTGTAGCCAATGATGCCAATGTCGCCCACTGGCAGTGCCACGGGGGGCATGCGCTGCGAGTTGTCCAGCTGGGGCGTGCATTTGGGTTCCCCAAAGACAAAGTCCTCACGCTCACAGGGCAGCTGAATGGACATGTCTGCGGCAGTCAGGGACCTCTTTCGCCCCTTGCCGCCGCTGAGGAGCGAGTCCATCAGGAAGCAGGTCCAGGCAGTGCGGCGACGCACCTCGGCCTCGATGAACTCCTCACGCGTAGGCACGCGATTACGCGGTATGCCCGTCTCGCGCGTCAGGTCCATGACCTCGACCAGACGAATGGCCATGCCCAGGTAGATCCACGCTCTCCTTCCGTTTCCAGCGCCCCAGTCATGGCCCGTCAGCATCAACAGCGCTTGCACTCGGCTGATGGAGGGAGTCTCCAGGTCCTGCTGCAGGATCTGACGGGCATGGGCGGCGTAGGCATTGCTGGCCTCCGTCTGTGTACTAAACGGCGCGGGCGGCTCTTGCACGAATCTGCGCGCGTTAGTCGACTAGCTCAGTGTCTTCCTCAGGCAGGGCAGGCGCCGTCGTGAGGAGGCATAACTACAGTAACTTACCTAATGGCAAGTGCGAGTATCGCCCACACCATCCACGGCTCCAGCGTTCGGTCGCGGATCCGCCGCAGCAACGTCGGCGTGTGGTGGAAGCTCCATTTGTACGAGCATCGCAGGTAACTGTTCTTCACCTCGTCCGTGAGCAATTCAAACGGATCCAGGCCGTCGAGCAGCGCTGATGCCGCACTCGGCGACGCATGTGCAGCGGCATTGGTGCCGTTCGGCAGATGTGCGTCATTGCGGCTTGGATGGGGCGCTATGCTGGTTGCACTCGCAGGATTCGAGGGCGGCGTCTCTCCTACATCTTCCGAGAGCCGTGGTCGCTTGGGCTTGCGATGGATTGCACTCGTCCCTGGCGCTGGAGGAGCGTGTGTGAGTAGGCGTCTTGGAGACGGTGACGGTGTTACGTGAGCACGCACCTGGAAACTCGCAAAGCTCAGCGCGCCCGCTCTGCTTGCACCTGTCGCATGGTGGCCGGTCTTCGTGGATGCACTTTTGCTTTGCCGACCGACAGGAGACGCACGCAACCGGATTCCTCATTATCGCGATGATTATGTTACCAACACATCGAAGAGGGCTGTACTGCGACAATGCCCCTGGTCGCGACTTCCGCCTCGATCTGCTCTTTGAATCCCGTGCCTGCCAGCCCACTAGCGCCCGCACCACTTGCCGAGTAACATCGCCCGAGCGTCCGACACCACCTTTTGTCTCTGCTTCAATCTTTCATCATCTTCACAATGTCTTTGTTTGTCCTGTCTCTTCGCTTTGATACCCATCTGTCTTGTGCCGCCAATTTTCAAGACTGAGCGAGCTTTGGTGCCACTGTTGGACAACAGGTTGGCAGATTGGATCGTCGCCTCGTCTCCGGGATTATGCCTTCTCAACTTATAGCTAAACCAAGGCAACGCGACTTCTCAATACACATCATGTCCACAGCCTACGCCAACGTGTGGCGCCCTATTTGCCCTCGTTTCTGACGTTTCTCACCATGTTTCTATACGGCGTATTCGTCTCATCACATACATGCTCTATGCTATCGTAGAACCGCTATACTATATGCACTGCTTATCCAAGTCATTGTCTTCCAAATGACACCTGGTCACGTTCCTGTTGATCCGTTATTCTCTGCTTTATCCCATTGTCATACTCTTTCACGCACTATCGCAGTGGCTGCTCCTACGCCCTTTCACTCGCCCCTCTTTGTTACCCCAATCACCACAAATCTACGCTGCATGGATCCAACCACCACCCACATAGCTCTACCTCTCCTTGCTAGCATATGAAAATCACATTGCGCCCACAATATCACCCCCTCATCAATACGTACGACCGACCCACAGTCTATAGTGAGCATAACCACCCACTTCGCCCAGTATAGATAGACCTGCACTTAACGCGTCACCAAAAACCCGTGACTCTTCTCAGAATAGCTTTGCCATGGCTGCATTCCCTGCGGCCAACCCTGTGGCCTACCAGACATACGCAACCCCGATGGCCGGAGAGAAAAGGAAGCGATCAGCTGGGGTCAACAAGTCAGAGCTAGTAAGCCACTTTCCAAATGTCTCATGCACGTATTTCTTTACTAATCTGATGTCACAGGCTGATCAATACGACACGATACCTGAGCCGCGCGCCAAAAAGAGCTGCGCCGATACAGAAGAATACAACCCAAAAGTATGAGAGTGACCTAGCAGCGATATGACAATGCTAATCCCAATAAGAATATGGCCAATATGTGCTTCAGCGCATACGCGTTACGCCTACATAAGGCTGCGCTTCCTACGCCCACGGAAGACCTTGCTGAAGACTTTCGACAAGATCTCTTTGAAATGTTCACCCATGCGCACACCAAAAGGAATTTCGAGCAAGGCACAGCAGCTCGTCACGTGATCCCTCGTCTCGCAGGCAACCCGAATTCGACTCGGACAGACAAGGACAGGCTAGTCAGAGACTTCATCGAGCATTACAGAAGCGTACGAAAAGACCTAGAGGCCATAGAGAAGCTTTACCTCAGCGATAAGCCGGCCAACGACGAATTCATCGCCACTATGCGCAGTCATGTTGCTGGGCTGCATAAGTCCTTAGCCGATGCAGCCAAGTGGCGCGGCATTTTGCGTTACACACCACTGTCTAAGGCATGTCTCAATTGGCTGATTTGGTCGATTGCCTACCGCAAGCCTTACCAACTTCTTGATGACTTGATCAACTATATTAACGATGTGAATGATTGGCTCACCATCCCACCACCAGAGATGGACCTACATCCTGACATCCGGGCAGCCATGAAGACTCTGAGTAAGGATATGGTAGAAAAAAACCAAAGAAAAGACAGAAAAAAGTGTCAGTTCACTTTTGAATCCTCACCCTGATGCCAAAGAGGCAGCTAGGCTCCGAAAGAAGGCTGAAGAGCAGTTGCATCAACAGAATGAAAAGGAAAGGGATCTTGAACGCCGTGAAGAAAAAAATTGCGGATTGAGGCCAAAGGTATGAGTTTGCAAACGGAGAAGTTCCTGGAGCAGGAAAGACATAATCAAGAAGCACTCCAGCGGGCAAACGTCAAAACCGAAAGAAGCAAAACAGCAGTTGAAAGAACTCGAAGATGCTACGAGAGAGCGGGTTGCAGAATACGCCGCTGCTAACGTTGAGCGTGAAGACGCCTATCAAACACAAATGTTTCGCAACGCAGATGAGGTTGAAAAACTTAAAATTAGGCTATCGGAAGTAAATGCTCAAAGCGAAGTCCAAGAGGCAGCTCTATTGGCCGCCAAGTCTCAAACAGAATTCCGCGAGGCAGCTCTATCGACCGCAAATGCCCGAATTGGAAAATTGGAGACAGAACTATTTGCCGCAAAGGCTCAAAATGACGAGATTTATAGCATGTTACAACCTTTCGTCCCGACATCCGGATCGCCCGATCCAATGCCGATGGAGGGCATCGAGCCGGAGTCTGCTCGGTCATCAACGTCTGGTACGGTCGGTTTTCTCAAGCCTGGACTGTGGGATCAGACACAGCCAATTCAATTTTCCGCGCAACACTTCGCCGATTTCGATACGTCATATGTAGAAGCTTGCACCGCTTTTAAATAAGGCCACTGCTCGCGTGGCACGAAGTGCAAGAACAAGCATGAGCCTTGCAAAAAGTGGATGCAGGGTATGTGTCAATTTGTACAATATTGCAACCATAGCCACGACCCTTTCTTCAAGCTAAATATACGCCATCAGTTCAATGGACCCGAGCAAATGAATGACGATTCTATTGTGGAAGAAGCAATACTAAACCATGTGCCGGATTTAATCGAGATTGCAAAGCGAAACCCGTTTATAGCGCAGTTCCTGGGTGAGAAACTAAAGCAAGCTTTGAGCAAGAAGAAGGCATATGCCAGAACAGCGACGAAGATTGCCCATATGCCCACCAGGCTTGCCAACACTTCATCAGGGGCAACTGCATATTGGGGGACCGTTGTCCGATCAGTCATGACCCCGCCTTTCTGATCCCAGGCAATAGGAGAAACTCCTTTCCGCCGAACCCCCGTCTTCAACAAAGCTCTAACATGCAGAACTCTGGCAATCATTCCAACTTTTCGTCAAATAACGTGTTTCAACAGGGCTCCAACGCACAGAACTCTGCCAACCATACCAGCTTTTCGTCTCAGGTTGACTATGAAGCTGCCCTCGACGATATCATCAATCTCGCGAATACAGATTCCCGCAGGGCGACAGACGTTCCAAGGGGTCGGTCAAACGGTACGAGGGGTCGGTCAAACAATCCAAGGGTTCGGATAAACGTCAAACATATATCGACGAGGAAACGGTTCCTGGAGACAGTAGAGGAGCCACATATGCATGTTCACCTTGACGATCAGGAGCCCAAGAATATGCTTTAGATGGATGCATTGCGATAGACTGTACATTTGTTTGGTCTTTCTTGTTTTCTTGCTAGTTTCATTGTTTAGTTTAATTTTGGCATACACCCTTTAAATATTGATCTGATTAATGCTCTGCGGAGCTTGTTTAATGTCACTGTTGTTTTTATGTCCGCTGTGAGTTGCTCGATGTGATGACATCTCTCTCTCTACTACTAAGCACCTTAGATATTTGTTGCCGAGATACTGCCAGTGTCTACTCTCATCGTTCTTTCATTTCAAATAGTCGTTAGTGGCTGTGTTTCTACATGGGGACATCACGATCCGGTATGTATGAGCTTGATACCTATAGTCACGTGACATCAGCTTAGGGACTTTTCCAGTACGTAGATGCGTTGAAGAACGAAGTCTTATGCCTGGGTTACAGGACTGCAAATGTAAGAGGCGCCTGCTAAGTTGATGTGCGATAATATGGTGTTTGTGGAGATGTGAACGATTCTGCTAAGAGTGAAATGCATAGATTCACGTGCGATGTATTTACTGTATGACATCGTGCTTTATACTCCTCGGCTATTTTGCTAACAGGTAATTCTATTGGTTCTTCTAATTTCTTACATATTCATGGATAATCTTATTTACTCGTTGCTAGATGCTTATCACTCATGGCCACTTCTGCGATGACTTAGCATCTACCGCAGGGGACGGCTCCAAAACCCCACTTCTCCCCAAGATCAGTCAGCTCAATGTCCCCATATCTGCCACCAAGATACCCCGCTTTCAAGCGCGTCATGCATTCAATCACCTGCAGGCGAGAACACCTACCCTACCGTATACAGCAAAGGGCCGAGCTCCTTGCTTACCTCACTTCCACCATTGTGCCTGCCCCACTCGATATGCTCCATCTGTCTAGTCATATTTTAGCATACTCCTCGAGCGGATGAAGACATGCCAGTCGCGATGAGCGTAGGTAGCGTTGTCAAATAGAGACTACCGCAGCGCGCCATACCAGTCTTAGGATCTTTTAATACACCAAATTCGGAGCCTGAAATCTATCTAGTGTATCTGTATTACTGTTTTAGAGGCTTTAAGCTTAATTTTAAGCCTAGATGCTGTCTTAGGGATTTCCTGTAAGTGGTATGGCGCCCCATGGTAACGCAGAGCCGACGATTGGAAGATGTCTGAACCTAATTACTCCGCTTTAAGGAAGATGTTAGATTAGCACACGCCGGTTTGAGATAAAGCCGTTCGAACGCCGTACTGAAAGCACTATATCGCATCTGTGATCGCCCTTAACTCCGCACGCTGTCCCGCAACAGCATCTTCCCCCGCCAAAGTTCGGACTATGACTTTATTAGATTTCAAAACTTCATCTTCTCCGCAATTCCTGCCGGTACCAAGATGAATGTAGCCCGTATCCTTGCAACGCCAGCACCCCTCCTTCCCTCCCTACAGACATCCGACCAAGCCCGCTAACCATCCGCTTCCTCACCACCCTCCTCCCCCTCCCCTCTTCGCCATCGCCCCCACCCTCAGAGCAGTCCGAGCACACATGCCATCCTGCTTCGCGCTGTATTGGAAAAACAGGGGCGACGGCATGTCCCCGCCGTCTGCCCAAATTACGCAACCCCCGACGGCATCGGCCCAAAGCACAAAATCGACGATCCAACCCATCCAGTCGACATTACCTACTTGGGCGTCACTCACAAAGGCGCTTTCCGATACAGAATAGGTAGTCAAGCTACTTACACGGTGCCCATCGAGGTCGTGTATTACAAAAGTCCTAACTCTCAGGACTTGGAGTAGGTTTCGTACGACATGCATCCATTTAGTGAGTGCTATGATGATTATGTGGGGAAGATGTGGGCGGTCAGGCTTTGTGAAGATCACCAGAAACGAGAGATCCACCCAGATGCGCTCATGCGTCATCGTAATGGCTTGCTCGCGGCTTGCAGCGCCCGTGTCCGCTCCGACCCGGGACATTGTCCCAAAATTTTGTGCACGCAGCACCTGACATGCAAGCTGGTCGGCCACAGGCTCGGCCTTGGGTATCGCTTTTGCAGTTCAAATGAACATGTACTACAGGTCGTGCAAGTCAATCTCAAAAATACCTATCTCGTGGTCTGAATTAGGTGTAACGATCCGTGATGTTGCGAATGAGCATGCGGACACAATGGCCAAGTTTGTACGGGTCTTTCTTGACCTCTTCGTCGACTGATGAACGAAGCTGCCGCTCGCTGAACCTACGTCTCTGCTCGGTGTGTGGAGAGAATGAAGCCATACGTGGCTCGTAACGAAAAGGTGTTTAAAGATATGTAATTGAATGTTCTGGTTCTGCGAATATGTTGTATTCAGATTTAGGCGTCAGCAAGTGCCTAAAGCGGGTTAGCACCTGAACCACGTACATGCCATGACATCACTCCTGCACACACAAAAAAACATTGTCAGTCCGCGCGACATGAATGTGTTCTCATGTACCGAGCTCTGCCTCCGTAACGAACGCTGTCCCGCTTAGTAATAACAGGGGTTTAGAGTGATACGATGTACACCTGTTCACGCTAGCCAACTCTGTCGGCCAGCTACATGGCAGCTTCTCTCCGTGCCCTAACCAAGCTCATCTGTTGTTTGCCAAGATTATCGCTGCTGCAGGCTATCTCAAGTCTCTGCTATCTGTTGATGGTACTTTTGTATGACCTTCTTGATCGTGTCTTTCTGTCCCGGTCACCAACCACTCCTTCCAGAGTCATGGTAATTGGTATAGGCGCATGATTGGCATCATACTAACGTGTCCGTGCGCGTGATGCGCGGATTCGCGTGATGCGCGGGGAACACCAAAACACGTCAAACCCCTTCACCTTCAACACACGTTAACTCCACCAATATGGACCCAATTCAAGCTGCGATTGAAGATATTGAAAATCTAGAGCCAGGAGAACAGTTCTCGTATACTAAAATTGCTGCTAAGCATGGTGTTGTGAGATCTACGTTGACCCGAAGGCACCAGGGCCAGACAAGCTCAGAAAGAGACAAGAACTTCAACCAGCAGAAACTCAACCCACAACAAGAGCTAGAGCTTGTGAGATATATCGAAAAGCTCACAAAGCGAGGCATTCCTCCTACACGAGAGATGATCAGGAATTTCTCATCAGAAGTAGCCCATCAGCAGCTCAGCGAGAGCTGGGTTACTCGCTTCATCAACCGACACGAGATCCATCTCATCTCAAAGTGGACCAGCGCCATGGATCGTACGCGCCACCTGGCTGATTCTGAGTCAAAGTATAGACTCTACTTCGAGCTGCTGCATCGAAAGATCACCGAATATCACCTAGAGGCTCGAGATATATACAATATGGATGAGAAGGGCTTCTTAATTGGCTTGATAGGCAGAAGTAAGAGGATATTCAGCAGGCGTCAATGGGAGAAGAAGGAGGTTCGAGCATCTCTCCAGGATGGATCACGCGAGTTTCTGACAGTCCTGGCCTGCTGCTGCGCTGATGGGAGCTCGCTGCCTCCAGCCCTTATCTACACAGCTAAAAATGGAGCTATACGATCGAGTTGGGTAGAAGATATCAAGGCAGGAGAACATGAGGTCTTTGTCTCATCATCTCCAACAGGCTGGTCAAATGATAACGTAGGCCTAGCTTGGCTGGAGCAGGTGTTTGATCGCTCTACAAAGCAACGATCAGGTAGATGGAGATTGCTCATCCTTGATGGCCATGGATCTCACCTCACGATGGAGTTTATTAAGTACTGCGATCGCCATAGGATCCTCCTCATGATCCTTCCTCCCCATTCGACCCATACGCTCCAGCCGCTAGATGTAGTGCTGTTCAAGCCACTCTCTCAAGCCTACTCTAACGAGCTCACTAACCATCTCCATAAGGCTCAAGGCCTTATTCCAATCAAGAAAGGGGACTTCTTCCCGCTCTTCTGGAGCGCCTGGATATCCTCCTTCACAGAGAGCCTCATATTGAAGGCCTTCGAAGCCACTGGGATCTGGCCGATGGATGCCAACGTTATCCTTCGTAGATTTGCTAGCACGCCAGAAGCTGAGAGAAGCTCATCGTCAGGGCTCTCTGATCATGACTGGAGAAAGCTCGATCGGCTAGTACGAGCTGCTGTTAATGATAGCCATCAGTATGAGGCAAGAAAGCTGCGCTCAAGCGTTCACCATCTCTCTGTGCAGTATGAGCTTTTAAAGCATGAGAACGAGGGCTTAAAGGAGGCTCTTCAACATAAAAAGAAGCACAGGAAGAAGGGCAAAGCTCTTGACCTTCAACAGCGCCAGGAGTATCACGGTGGCTCTGTCTTCTGGTCTCCTCGCAAGCTGCGTGAGGCTCGAGCTAGAGAAGCAGTACGGGAGCGAGATGAGACGGAGGAGAAACTCCAAAAAGCACGGTCCAAGAAGCAGCGCGAGGAGGCTCGACTGCAGCGTCAAGATGAGCTCGAGGAGAGGCGCGTGGAGAGGCAGAGACTCAAGGAGATGAGGGAGCTTGAGCGAGCTGAGAAAGCAGCTGAACGCGCGCGCCAGAAGGAGGAGAGAGACGCTGCTAAAGCTATACAACTACCCCAAAAGGGAAAGAGGAGAGCTTCAGCAGCTACCTCATCGAACAACAAGCGTCAAAAACGCGTTGAGGCTGCTCGCGCTGGTGCTCAAGTTCAAGAAGAGCCTCCAGCTCCTCCATCAAAGCTCACATCACGTGGCCGCAACGTCAACCTCCCATCAAAATATAGATAGTACAAGTTGATCGCAAGCATCTAATTACTCCCCCTCTATAAATTCGTATAATAACAGCTTATATACGTGGCTTAATAGCTTCATTTTTGAAGTAGTGGATATGGTGTTCCCCGCGCATCACGCGAATCCGCGCATCACGCGCACGGACACGTTAACCTAGACGGCTCATACATATCGATCGAAAAATGCCGGCTTGACTTGCGGCCCGACGCGTGCCGACTCGGCCATCAAAGATGTAGCGGTGTGAGGAGAGGAGGAGGACTGCGTTGCATTGTGTAGCTATGGAGGAACTGCAGCTATATAGGTGTGTGTGATGAGAAAGTGTGGTAGCGATAGCCGTACCCAACTCTCACCCAAGTCGGTCTTGGCAAGGCCCAAACCGTTACAAAAGATCCTAGTAACGTTACGCAGACACGCCTAGAACAACATGTCTCGTACCGCTGCTACCGGGTACGAGAACTGGTCCAGACCTCACCCTGCACAAAATTTACATACTGTATCAAGTTTTGTGAAAGTTTCATGCCATCATGGTTTCATAAAGTATCGTTCCAAAAGAGTAAGGACGTTTTTCATTACATTGCTAATATATGATCTTCATCCACACCAATTTCTCTTTTCTCGACCTACGTTTAGAGGCGTTTATTTGCCGATATAGTACAGAAAGATACCTACCTGATGGAGTAACAGCCCAAAAGTAAAGTCGACGATATCGCCCTTGACAAAGTTATGCATATTAATCGGCAGACAGTTGATATAATCCGGTATTGCGTGATCTTTCTACAGACAAACGTTTTCGTTATGGCCACGTTGTTACCCGTGAGAGTGGCGTCTGTCTTAATAGCCCATTCCTTGAGGGAACCTAAAAATTGTCTTGTTAGTGAAAAGCGCGCCAAGGCAAAAAGACCCCGGGACAGAAAAGCATCGCAACTTACTCTCAACATGCGCACTAACACTCGCCCCAGAGATAGCCTGATTCAAAACGATAGGCACATCTTGAAACTTCGTCTCTTCATAATAAGCATGTACATGCCTGTACTCGTACTGCGCCACTCCATTCCAATTATCCTTCTTCGGCTGTTTGTGCGGGACACATCTGGTATCGATGACAATTTGATTAGCTTCCACGGTCTCGACTTCGGTGCAGTAGGTGCGTGGTGGGCAATGTCCCGGGGCTTGGTAGTCGTTGCTACCCGCGGGTTTGCATTCGTCCTCGTATGCTTGCACGCTTATATCGGGTTTGTATTCACGGCGGATCCATTCGTTGATATGGTCGCAGCCGTGCTTGGGGAGTGTGGCGCGCTTCTGTGGTCCGGGGTTGACACTTGTGGAGTTTTCTACTTGGAGAGCTATGAAGTATTCGAGGACTTCGTCTACGAAGTCCTTGGGGATGGAGCTCCAGTCGTAGGAGAATATGGATTCTGTGGGGGGGGGGGGGGGTCGGTAGAGGGGTCGACGAAAGGATCGGTAGAGCCAGAGGATCCGTCGTCGGTGGAGTTCGAGGGGGGATCAGGGGTGACAGTAATGGAGGGCTCAGCATCGTCAGGAATGGCCAAACTGAATGATCCCTTGACAAGAGCAAGCAGAGCAATACTGCGCGTCAACGTTTGCAGGTTGAGAGAAATCATGGTTGTAAATTCAGTAGAGGTGATGAGATGTGTATTCAACTGTAGAGTATGATAACTGATAGTAGTTGCGTCCGAACGTAGCTTTATATATTGAAATGTTCTTTGATAGCAGTTTAGATGCTGGTTTGGTAGCAGAATGATGGTGCAGACATAATTCGTATCGTCGTGTTCGGGAAACATTGGAGTTTGAACGAAAAAATATCTTGGACTACATGTGGTTAGGTAGTCATTCGCTTATGAGAACCATGTATACTACATCCTGATAGTCTATGTTTTGATGCACTCGTATAGACCGGCCCAACCGTGTATGCACCAAGGTGCCAGTAATATCGCCCTCTGCGCATCCCCGACGTTGCCTGTATTGCTCATTGCACCCGCCAGACTGCCGGCATCAAGGGTACCATTTGGAGGTGCGTTGCGCATCGCATTTTCTCGTGCGATCGTACTGCAAAATAGATTACCATCCGTAGCATCCGCAAGCTCTACCCAGCCTGTGTGCTTCCAGGGCGACAACATTATACTGCGTTGCGCCTCATGCAACTCTTGCTCTTCGCCGCCTAGGCTCAGTGAGATGGCTTCAATCACCTTCTCTACCCGAGCTAGCTGCTCATCGGTGAGCTGCTTGTTTGCGCGCATTCGATCCAAGTCGTCTTTGATAGCTTCCATGGTCTCCAAATCATCGTCAAGTACCGTCATCGCACCAATTAAGGTTAGGAGCCCAACATGGCCTTCGTGTTTCTCGATCGCTGTAAACAACTGGTCGCGGGCAACTTGCTTCTCGTTGTCTCCGCCCTTTGCCCACAGTACCTCTGCAAGGATACAGATGATGTCGGGATTGGAGCTAGTAGTCTCGAGCGATTTTCGGAAATACGGTATGGCTGCATCGAACGATCCGCTGAAATAATGCGCTAATCCGGCAGTTAGGTGTGCTGATAGTTTGGTCCTTGCAAGTTGGTCGCCGGACATGGTGGATTGCTTTTCATCGTGATCGAGCTCTGACAACAGGTCTAGCGCGGTCTCGGCTTCCTCTACAGCAGCCTGATACAATTTGACGGCAAGAAGGTTACGAGCTAAGTCTGCTTTCGCAGATGCAACACGAGCAAGAGATGCCAGCGACTCAGACTTTTCGTATTCTTGCTCAACATTCTCATTCACAGCCTGTAGAGCAATGACAGCTGCGTCATAATCACCAACACGCTCCAGAAATAGAGCCGCGAGATGCTTGTGTGGAATATCGTAAGGAGCTTGCAGGCTCAGCTGCTGAAGCGCGAAGAGAGGCTGGATGAGATTCGTAATGTTGCTCGAAGATGAAGGTGATGATACAAGGAAGTCAAATGCTGACGCTGCATACTGTCGCTTCGTAAGAAGCAGAGATGATTCCGAGAGCTCAAAGGCATGTGTAAAATGAGATAGAGCTTCGTTGGAATTTCCTGTAAGCAACGCAATGATGCCTTCGCCGACCCAAGCTAACGAGTAATCGGGATCTTGAGACTGTGCCCGGGAGAAGGCAGTATGTGCAAGCTCATGGTCGTTCTGTAGGAGATACAAGACCCCAAGATTTGTCCATGTGTGTACGCTTCTCTCGTTGAGATGTAATGATCGAACGAAAGCATGCTGGGCGACCTTCGGACTCAGTGTCGTCGTGATGACACCAAGTGAATTCCAGAATTCCGAATTCCCAGCTTCTAATTCGATGGCGCGCTTGAAGCACTTCATGGCTGCTCGAAGGTAAGTAGTGAGCTTGGATTCCTCAATACCCTCTTGCTCCAAACAAACATGTGCTCTGTACTCAGTCCAGCCAAGATTATACCACGCAACGGCTTGGGCATGTATTTGGTGGGCGCAACTAGATATGGCTCGCTTCTGGGCAAGGATGGATGCCTTGAGAGTCTTAGCCAGTGGGGTATCGTCATCTTTAGAAAGCTTCTCCAAATCATTTTGTCCCAGTCCATCAACGTCTTTGTGCTCATCGAGGTCGATGCGCATGTCTGACGGACTACGCAGCACATTTTCCATCAGCTCGAAGGGGAACTGCTTCAGTCTCTCTTGGACCCAACTAAACAGACTGCACGCGTCTCCGACAGCTTTCCACAGATTGAAGGCGTCTGGCTTGTACTCGGTAATTGTGGCCGCTACTTCGATGCCGCGGGTAGCACTGTCGATAGCCTCTCCAAAGAAGCCGGTTTCGATACAATGCCAAGCTTTCTCCACGAGCGTCTGTAGAAGTGCTATCGAAACGCCAAATTCTTTGGGACGATCCGCCAGTACGGCTTCATACCCCGATATGGCATCGTCATACTCGCTCAACTCGCGATTGACATTAGCCAGCATGTACTTTGTGAACCATCTCTCCTCGTCTGTTCTTTTTAGAACGACGCCGTCCGTGGGATTCTCAGCGTAGTTGAAAGCACGGGATGCTGAATTGTACCGTCCAGAGTTGTGGTAACTCTCGCCTAGGCCGACGTACGAGTAATAGTCATCGGGACTGATACGAAGAGCTGATAGAAAAGAGACGATACTCTTCTGGTACTCTTGCTTGTTCATTTGTACAACACCAAGGGCCGAAAATGGCCAGCTCACGCCCTTCCGCTTTGAGCCAGGCGTTTGACGAGCCTTGCCCGAATCGACCACTCGTTGTGAGACGACCTCCACGATATCCCACTCGCCTTGGTTGGCGAAGAGGCGAGCTAGCCGCTCAGCTGCAACAACCTCTGAGGGCGAGAGCTCGAAGGCCTTTTGGAAACACTGCCTTGCTCGCTTGCGATCTTTATTATAGTCTTCATAGAAGATACCGAGAAGCGTGTATGCAGGCGCATAGTTGGGGTTTGCTTTGATCGCTGCTAGCAATTTTGCATACGTCCTTTGTCGGTCTTTTCGCGCAGCTTTGGAAGGATCAAGCTCCCATAGACAGACGCCTATTCTATAGAGTGTCTGCGCACGAAGCTCGCGGCCACGCTGCTTGGATGCATCTAGTTCGGGGTATTCGAGATACCCTTGAAGTCTCTCTAGACCAGTCTTGTAGTCGCCTGCAAGTGCCTGACACCATGCTGATTCAGCACCGATGCGGCCATTCGAAGGATCTTGTTGTAGAGCTTTCTCAAGAAACTCAAAAGCCTGCCCATATTCCTGCTCTTCCTCCAACACTAATCCGATACCGATGAGAGCGGCAGTGAACTGTGGCTTGCGTTTCAGAATTGACTCGAAGATAGCTTTGGCTTCTGCGTGATTTCTAGGGGCTTGGTAATAGACCAAGGCTGTACCAAGGGTGCTGCTAAGAGCATCGCGAGTTCTTTGAAATGACAGGTCGGTCTTCTTTGCTTCTTGTGCGGCGTATTTTAGACCTTTCCGTGTGATCTCTACTGCGCTCTCGTACTCTTCCAGAAAAAGGTAGTAGTCGCCAAGCAAGCAATGCGCGAGTGGGGACTTGCCAGCCTCGCCGATGCCCTCAGTCATTAGTACCAAACAATCCTCTTGCGACACTGGCACATCTTGCGTGAGCGCCACCCCGCCCTCACTTAGGTCGGGCCCTTGTCTCGAGTCACCCTCATCAGTCAATGGATATTTTGAAATGCCGCTACTCAACCATCCCGTGATGACTTTCGAAAGACCCTCATTTGGGAATAGCTCGACGAATTGGCGTAATGTTGAGATGTCGAGGTCCAGCAGGTCGTGCGCACTGTCGGCGTGAGACGCCATAATGGCGATTTGAAATCTTTGAACCAGTCGATGCAATTCAAAGCTCCAACAGACGCTGGCGAAACGGGAAAGGGCACGTATGGAACCGTGGTAGATGTCGGTGGTTGTGTTCCCATGCATATGGCGGAGCCTAGGATTGACACTAGCGTGTGGTGCGTCATTGCTTGCTGTGTCGAACGCAAGCCCCACCAAAGCTTCAATTCACTCGCATGGCAACCACATAACACATCTGTGCCGTATGCACGGCTGTTACCTCAGATACTCACGCCGCTGCAATGTCGACCAAGGCTGCACTCAAAGCAGCGAAAGCCGCGATTGGCGCAAAAGATTGGGAGGAAGCGAAGAACCACGCAACGGCCGTAATCGAAAAGGAGCCCAACAACAACTTTGCCTATCTATTCCTCGGACGCGCAAATGACGGTTTGAGCCGGTTCGAAGAGGCAGCGAAGGCGTATTATGAGGCAACCAAGATCAAGCCAGAAGACCCGCAGGCATGGCTGGGGTTGAGGGGCATGTATGAGGGCCTGAAGGGCGCAAAGGTTGACGAGAACATTGATGTCGGCCTTCAATTAGCGCAGATATATATGAATCTGTATGTATAAACTCTTTCTAAAGACAAGGAGATATCCTAATACGAATAGTGACGATGCGCACAAGTCACAATCTGCAATCGACAAACTCGTAGATCACGCACGCGCACATGGGACCAAGACGCAGTATGCCCGCGCCCTTGGCACTCAGCTTCCTTCCTCTCCGGTATACGACTACCTCGAAGGCCGATTGCCTGATCCGTCAAAGACGTATACACGTGTTGCTGAAATCCACGAGACACAAGAAGCGGCGACCATCAAGCGTCTTGTAGACGAGCGCCGGCTCCGTATCGGCGCGACGCTGGGAGGCACAACCGCGACTGTCAAGAATGATATATACGCGGCGAGTCCGCTAGAGAGCATATATGAGGAAATCATAAACTGGACAAGAGACGATGAGCTTAGAAGAGAATACGAGGAAAAGCTGCTGGCGCGCGCATACGACACATTGATGGTGCTGCCAGCGGGCGAGAAAGCAGAGAAGCGGGAGAAGGTCATGAAGCTGGCACACGACATGGTGGTTATCAAGCATCCGAACTTGCTGGCATGGACCATCGAATTGGAATGGCGGTCGGGCTTGGAGGTAGAGGCGCATTGAGGTCTCCGCGATGCACGACGAATTTGCGGTGAATCTATCATAGTTTCATATAGTTAACTATTACCCAATTCTTCCAGAACCATGTTGCACCTGAACGCCGCCCATGCTTGTTTCCTGCTCAACACCTTCGTACCTTAGGCGTTCGCAGCCCCAACAACCCTCCTCCTCTCCTCCACACTAAACAGACTCTCGCCCTGCTTCAGCGCATGGATAAGCATCGGCACACTGCTCGCCTTGAAGTCCTGCGCCTCGCGCACCTTGTCCAGATCATCTGCGAACTCAGCCGCGACTTTGCGCAAGTAGATGGCGCTGAAATCGTCCTGTGCCTGCTTGCCGGCCTTGGAGGACGGTTTTGCTGGAGATTGTGGTGCTGGCGCATCTTCCATCTGTACATCCTGATCTGCCTCGACGTTTGCGCTAGTAGTTTTGGACTTCTTCTTCTTCTTTTCCTTCTTGGCGGGTGTAGGTACTGGCGATGGGGTAGGTGATGTTTCCTTCTTTGCATGTTAGAATATATCTTTTGGACGATAGATTCCCTTACTACAGTGTCCTTCTCTACTACTGCAGCCTTTCTGCTCGCCTCGCTTGAGCCATCGCTGTCGCTTTCGCTGGACGATGAGACTGCACGTGTTGTTAGCACATGTACGTTTAGCCATTATCACAATTTGTATACCCTCAGTTCTGGTCCTTCTTTTCTTCGATCTCTTCTTCTTCTCGACATTGCTTGCTCCTCTTTGTGGCGCCATTCTGTTTGGGTTTGCAGATGTTGGGGAAAAGTTCTACACGTGAATGTCCGTTATCGATAGAGCACGCGCCGCGCTAAATCGAGCGGCTGCGCTTTACTTTACCCTTTTGGGTACTGGTAGATGTCTAGGGTCTCCTAAAGTCAACGCCAGATTTCCTGATGAGATTGATTCAACCATCTAATTGTTGTTTCTACCCGCGTTTCTCCTCCAAAACCTGGTCATCGACTCATTTGCGTAAGATTCAGCTCTTCGTACAGCTTCTGGCCGACAACAAGACCTGCCTACAAGCTGTTCTCTATGGTTGCTAATTCTGCCATTGTATCCTTCACACTCGCTTTCAGTGCCTCAGCAACCGGAGAATACGGCCGTCTTGGGTTGAGCTTTGCTTCCGCGCCTTCTATACCTGCTGCCTTTGCACTGTACTGACTGACAGCATGTTTTGTTGGCGCAATGCCAGCCTTTATTGGGCTTTCCGCCAGCGCGGCCTTGCGATGCAATTCCAGCGCTTCCTGTGTCTTACCGCTAGTGTACAGCTCGTAGACTTTGGAGCAAACTTTTGGAAATACATTACTGAATGCCGACACACATCCAGCACTCCCAACAGCCAGGCCAGCCACCATCCAATCTGCCTGTCCAGCAAACGTAGAGAACGTATCGCTCGGCAACTCGGCGCAGAGTCTTGTAATCTTTGCAACACTTCCGCAAGTCAACTTTACTCCAACAATCTTCCCCGGGTTGCGTTTTGCCAAGGCTGCAATGGTTACAGAGTCGAGGTCCACTCCATTACAAGTCCCGGGAAAGTTGTAGATGACAATGGGCAGTGAGCTCTTCTGGGCAACTTCGTTATAGAAGGCCATTATCACATCCTTTGATGTTGCTGGTCCGTAGTAAGCTGCTGGTAGCAGCAGCCCATAGTTTGCTCCTGCTTCAATTGCGTCGCTGATGTTCTCCATCACTTGCGGAACGGAGAAACCGGAAATACCCACCATGAGGGGATAGTCGGGACCGACTGCTTCGCGTGCACATTTCATCAATGCTTTCTTTTCGTCACGGGTGAGCAGAAAGGCTTCTGCATTGGAGCCGAGGACGACGAGACCAATAAGACCGGACTTGGAGAGATAGGTAAAGTACTGCTTCTGCGCAACAAGGTCGAGGGTTGCGGTGTCGCTTTCAGGTGTGTAGAAAGTCACTGCGGGGCACCACACGCCTGCACTTGGTGGGGGTGCCATCAGGAACTTCTGTGGTTGTTCGAGTCGAATGTGGTGATAGGTTCCGCTTATGTGGGCGGGGTTGAGGGGAAGATGCAAAAGGACAGTCAAATGTCGAACAGCGGTTCTGTGAACCCTAGTAGACTTCTTGTATCTCAGGAAAACTGACTAAGTGCTATTCAATATCTGGTCAGGTGGCGATCAAGCTTAGGATCTTCATGCAGCATCGGGAAGCGTGCCGAAAGCCTTTGATAGCCGGTAATCCATTCCGATCATTCCGACCGTTCCGGAACGATCACCAACGTCTTCAGCATCGACACGATGACTACGTCTATGCCGGCCCGGACTGATTTCAACCTACTTTCACCAAACGATTGAGATAGGACTGATCTCAGCGTTCAAATAGTGAGCTCCCCCTAGGTACTCAGACTCACTCCGGCCCTAATGCAAGACATCCATGGATCTAGCTGGAATAGACGCATGAGCATCAGTACCTAGGTAGTTGTCCAACATATGGCATGATGCTACCATCGGGGAGCCCTCATGAGGATCCTCTCTGAACCCTGAACCAGCTTTTTTTCTTACCAGAGCGGGGTGCCGTTCGAGGCGTTACGGAACAATCACACGCGTCTCATGCAGGTGTGATTATCAAACGTCATAACAGCCCCGTTGGGATGTAGCAGTTGAGTTAACATCGTCCTATAGCCCCGCAATCCAGAGGATTTCTTATAAAAACTTGGCGCTTGATTTCATTCATAAGCTTCCCTACTCGCCGTACATTGTCACGACAATGTGGCGAAGGATCACTTGCTTCTCTCACCACACCATGTCTTCTTTGGCAGACAACAAACAGACCATTCGCGAACGAAAAATTTCTCCCTCTGCTTTGTCTCCAGTACAAAAATATACTCTCTTGAGGACAAGATCTCAGAAAATCATTCAGGCTATTTCACGGAAACATCGGACACGCATGCAAGAGAAGCTCGCGCTGATGCTGCGGGAGGAAGTAAGCAATGGAGCAGGTTTCACCGCCCTTACTACTGTAGGATACACATCCTGTACACGCGGTCTTAAACGTATTCCCGAGGACAACGAAGACAGCGAGGACGATGACGACACTACAAGCCGAGCTCCCCCGTTCCTCTCCTTACCTGGTGAGATTCGCAACGAGATCTACGACTATTTCCTGCCGAGCTTAGTCAGGCTAGAAGAAGCCAATGCATTGATGTTGACCTGCAAGCAAGTCCATCAAGAGTTCACATCCATGACTGTCGCCAAAACCAAACCAATCGTGGAAGAAGTAGTCAAAGAACGTGTATTCAGTCTCAAATCCAACAGCCCATTGCCCCAATCATCTACTACAACGGAAGAAAGCCTGTCAATCGCAACCCATAAGCAACTTCACAACGTCAACCTCTCAATCGGACTCATCGATACCCTCTCCGCAGAAGCCGCAAATCACAATCCGGCAGCCCACAAGTTCGACGACTGCATCGATTCTTTAAAAGAATTACTCAGCTTACATCTCCCCTTTATCACCATCTCCGTTGATCTCTACGCCGACCTCGGTATCTCCGATATCGAACTCCGAGCCCGTAACCTACGCGCTTTCATCGTTGCCTTTGAGCGTGTGGAGAATGACCCCGAGAGTACCATCAACGCACAACATGTTATATTCGAGCTTGCAAGGAGTACTTGGGAAGGTGCTGACATCCCATACCCGCCCGCTGTGGCTTTCGTGCGGCGAGAGGAGAAGGTGGATGGCGAGTCTGGGTTTGAAGCTTTGTGGCACGATCCGCTGCTGGAGAGGAGGCGGATGGGGCTTTTGTATAGTGAGAGTGATCATCAGGAATGGATTGCGGAGGCGAAGATGATGGCGAGGCTTGAGGTTATTATGGCTCGGAGTCGGCGCCATGTGAATGGTGGGGTCTGATGACTCGGTAGAGTGCCATGGATGGTAGGGCAGGCACAGACTCCGCAACAATCAAATCAATCAATCTTAAGGTTGTCGATTGGTTTGATTAGCTTGCGGCGACGCTGCTGATTGATTGCGGATTGATTGTTAGGGTTTTTGAGCAGATTGATTGCGATTGATTGGTTGATTGGCTGATTGATGCTAAGAAGTAGTATACAGGGGGTTATGGTGTTGTACTCCAGCCTTCTATATCGTACTGTTGTACAATCTCCTCATCTTTGACGTCACTCCACTTATCTTCATCATCACCGTTGTTGTACAAGCCGTCAAAGCCAGCTCGTCTCCACGAACGTACAAGCTGAAGGGCAGCAAGTAACTCGCTGCCAAGAGCTCGCCGGCGCGGCTCAAGTAAATCGCCAAGCTCGCTAAAGAGCCTCTCGCAGTCGCAACTAGATGCTGGTATCGTGAGTATATCAATCGCAAACTGGCTTAAACACGGGTATTTTGAGCGTAATTGAATCCAGTACTTGACTGGGTGGCCATCGCTAAGATACTGTTCGCTTGTCCACTCTGGCTCTTGAGTTCTCCAGCGCTCGTACTCATCGTCGTGGGCAGCCTCTACCTGAGCCTTGTTGCGCCGTACGAGGGCGCCAATCACATCATCTATTCCTCTATGCCTTGGTTTTGCAGTTGTTTGAGATAGAGGACGTGTACGTTGAGGCTTATACGACTGCCAGAGCTGCAGGAAGCCAGCGTTGGCTGATGTTAGCCATTCTGGCTTATCCACCCAGCTGTTCTCGCAGTAGTATTTGTAGTATGGATGGAGGCAGGTAGCAGCGTAGTATGCTGGCGATCGATCGAGCTTGTTGTAGTAATCGTTGGCCTTACTCCAGGCGGCGCGGAGGTTAACAAAGAGGTGATCTTCAGGCGCATCAGGTGGGTTGAAGTCAACTTGCTCGTACGAGCGCGTACGGGCTTCGAGCGCGCCAAGTACGTATTCAAATACAGGAATAGTCTCATATATAGCGCCGTATTTGCCTGCCTTTCCGCGACCCTCAAGCTTCTCCGTAGCAAGCTTAAGCGGCTCTAGGCAGTCCTGATACTCTGTTATCACCGCCCAATCAGCAGCTGTAAGTCCTGTTGATCTCATCCAACTAGGTGCTTCAGGGAGTTTATTGCCACGTTGACAAGCGCGGCGATCTTCAAGGGAGAGTGCGTTAATGTAGTGCTCAGCGTAAGAGTTGTATGCTGCCTGGAGTTGAGTTGCGCGTTTGAAGGCAGCGTAGTAAGAGTTCCAGCGTGTAACAACAGGCTTCACAGGCTCAAGTACGTGGAGGCGCTCTCTAGCTGGCAACTCGGCGTTGGCGGCGGTTTGGAAGCTTCGGAAAATTTCGTGTTGTTGAGGCGTTTTTTATCGCAGTAGACAAGACGTCAACAACTGCATATGAGAACTGCGTTGATTGTCCTACGGAGTAGATACACAAGGTTATATACATGAGATGTGCGTAAGCACATGACGGCAAAGGAGTGAAAGTGAAGGTTGTAGAACATTCGGCCAAGAAGCATCGGGCCGATTCCAAGAAGTGTAGTCCTGAATGGCAACATTTTTATATGGTTGATAACGTCGATAAGTACACCTAAGGGCCCTTCTTGACGCCACTCCTGCATGTACACCTCCTCTGTTTGGAGCTGCTCGTCGTTGTTGTTGTTGTACGCCTCTTGATTGCTGCCAAAGATAATTGCCTGGCCAATAAGGTTAAGCGTGTGAGGGCCGCAGCGGAGGCGTCGGTGAGCAGCGTTGAAGTCGTACGCGTGGGCGAGCGAGGAGACTGCAGTATCGTTGTTTGCAGCATTGTCGAGGACGAAGTAGCCGAGTTTATCACTCCCAATACTGTATTCTTGGAGCGTCTTTTTAATTGTATCAGCGATAGCATCACCAGTATGAGAGCCTGCGAGATGTGGGAGGGCGATGGGGAGATCTTGTATCACTCCAGAGGCGTTAGCAAAGTGTGCAACGACTCCAAAGAATCCACGCTTGCCACCCTTTGTCGTCCAACCATCAAAGCTTATGTGGATCTTGCTTGCAGCTTCTGACAGAGCGCAGACAATCTGTGGCTGCATATATTGGAAGAGGCGCATTGCGTAGGTAGCTACACTGCGAGGACTTACCCACAAAGCTGCCTCTGCCTCTGGGTTTGCAAGGCTAATCATCTCGCGAAAGGACGGCCTTGCAAGTAGCTCCATTGGCAAGTTGTTATCAAGAAGGCAGAACACTGCAACTTCACGAAACTGCTGGATGTTGAAGTTGCCCATCGCGTTGGCAGCCTCTTGAGAGACTGCAACACCAGTCTCCAGCGTCTGTCGTAGAGAGAGTTGCTGCCCTGTTCTTCGAGGCTTCAGGCCGTCTTTTGTAAAGCCATGGCCTCGTTTCTGAAGGCCAAGATGAGCTGCAGCTGAGGAGGTGGCCTTTGATACGTCAAAAACTCCACTGCCGCCAGTGTCAATGACCTTGTGGATGTGGCAGTATTTGCATACAAACCACACTCGATTCTGATCGTAGAGCTCAACAACGCGATATCCATGTTGAAAGATCCAACTCTTGACGCGCCGCCCAGTTGTAAGAGGCTTCATGAACCGAGGGAGGCGATCCCAGTTAATGCCGTCAAAGTTATCGCCATTATCAGGCTCTGTATCAACACTAGCCTCTGTTGTTGCTGCTGTACCAACCTGGCTGCCCTCAGCCGCACCCTCCTCCTCTGTTTGCGACTCGAAAAATTGCGACTCAAACGTTGTGGCCTGGCTTACGGCGGCGCCAAGGGTTTCCTGAGGCGACAGCGATCGCTGAGATAGGACAGAGGGCCTTGATAGGCGCGCCCGTTTGGCGGCGGCGGCGGCGGCAGCAGTATTGGTGGGAACTCGAGAGCGTTTGGCCATCGTGGGCGATACTAAACACTAAAGAAAAATGTCTGTATAGGTAGCTAGGCAACTAGTGTTGTGTGTAAGGGATTATTAGGGAACTGAGTGAGCGAAATCGTTGTTGTATTAAGAACAGCGAAGGACTAGCTATATAGGTGCGGGGTGAAGCCTAGAAGAGGCTAGCCCCTAAGCAGAAGGAGCTAGTCCTATAAGAGGAGAGCTAGCTGGTGAGAAGTGAATGCATAGAGACTGGCTTGCCCGGCCGACAGGGATCACAAGCTAAGCGAGATAGGGGTCCAAGATAACTATCTTCAACACCAAAAACCTTCTCTTAATACGACACTACTCGCCTTACAACTCGTTAATAATAAATCAATCTAACTAATCAAATCAATCAATCTGACCTTCGCAAGTTGATTTGATTAGCTATTTTGAAAAGCTTAGATTGAGTTGATTGAGTTGGTAAAAACTCCAAATGACCAATCAAATCAATCAATCTGCAGAGATGTCAACAAGCAAGTCAAGCTGGCTTGATTCTTATCGATTGCAGATCACAGACAATATAGAGGCTCGTGCACAGTGGCACGTCCCAGAGAATGGTCTGTGATCTGCAATCGATAAGAATCAAGCCAGCTTGACTTGCTTGTTGACATCTCTGTCAATCTGACCAATCTGGATTGATTGTTGCGGAGTCTGGGCAGGCATTCCCGTTCTCTGTAGGTTCTTCGATGGAGACACATCTAATGAGCTCGCGTTATGTCTTATACTTCTAGAGATACTTGGACAAAGAGTGACACTCTGAGTTTCATTGGCATAGTGTCATACTGATACTACCAAGAACGCGTGTTTATCCTTGAAACAAGACTCTTCATTCCCTTACAGACAATCTCCACGATGTGAGGACATTGGTCGCGACAAGCGTCGATAATGTGGGTATCACACAAGTCTCCACAAATTGCGCGAAGGAGTTGCCATCTATCTCGGCGTCAAAGCATTCACGACAATGTTACATGTGCCGTACGCCGTCCGGCATCCATCAACGCGGCGGTCAACCGTTGAGCCACACCAACCATACGCGGAACCTAAGAATCAAGTAAGTCGAGTATCCGCCGTGTACTTGCGACAGCGACCACTTGCAGCAATCTTCAAACCCACTACCAGGACATATGTAGCCGTTGTTGTTGTTCACCGTTCCGCAGGAGCGAGTTCTTGGAGGGGAGGCTACAGAAGCCGAGTTCTATCTGACATCCGGAGTCGCAGTGAACCTCGTCGCCGCATTTCCGCATACACGGTCTTATCTCTCTACATCCGGAAACTGAGCTTTCAGCATAATCTTAATGTCTTCAAGGCAGTCTTCTTTGCTATATCTGGCCCTGTCGGGCCAGGCATGATCTCGGTAGATCTTCTGAACTGCAAATAGTATTTCCCGTGTTTGATTAGATCCTGAGCCCCACATGGCCTTGACTATTCGCGAGCCAATTGGCGCAAAGTTAAGCTGCTCGAAATTGCGCTTGAGAATCTCGAAGAAGACTTTAATAGGCCAGACTCCACTCTCGTATTTCCACTCAGCCTGATCTTCGGGGATCCGCCCATCATCCGCCCAGCCGTAACCGTCACCTTCAGCCTGGTCATCCATGAAGCGCACTTCATCCAGGCACTTGTACCAATAAATCACGCCAAACTGAGTATCGAGTAAGAATGTAGGGCCGTTCTCCTTCGCTAGATGGCTAGGCCCGAGCCGAAGCCACATGGCTGCAGATTCAACATTGATCTCGCTGACGAAACTAAATAGTAGTCTTCACAAAAGGAATATGATATGCCTGATACTGCATTAATCCACCTAATCACTGCTATATCAAAGTAAAATCTTCACCGATTAATCTTGAGGTAGAACAATTAGGGCACTCTCCTCATCCTTCCAACCCTTATAGACCCTGACAAATATATCCAGTAGAAGTCCATGTCAGCGTCAGGAAATTGAGCACTGATCATAGCCTCAATATCGGCAATGCAATCCTCTTTGCGAAAGCGGGTCTTATCAGGCCACCCGTGATACTTGTAGATCTTCTGGATTGCGGCCAGCATTGCCTGATCCTCCATTGAACGCATGATCCAAGGATACATGCCCTCGACCTTACGCCTGCCGGCAGGCACAACTTCTAGAGTCTCGAAGTGGAGCTTGAGCATCTCAAAAACATCATTGATGGCCCAAAACGCACTGTTCTCCCGCCACTTCATTTGGACCTCCGGAATCAAACCGTCTTCCTCCCAATCAAAAGGATCGTCCTCAAGCAGGGTGCCCGTGTGCTTGACCACGCCTGGACACTCAGGCCAGTAAGCAGACTTGTCAACAATCAATCGATCGACATGATTGATTCCTATATAGGTTAAAGAATTACTTCATTAGGCAGCCTTTAACCTAGATAGGAATCAATCATGCCGATCTGATTGATTGTTGACAAGTCTGCCAGTAAGTCACACCAAGTTAGGGGTCAAGCAGAAATAGAGCGTTATATTCTCCCAGGAACGTCAAACCCACAATGTGTGGTGGTATCACAGTATCGTCGGGGTAAGGTTCGCTGTTTTTCTTGAGGCCTTGACCATCTGCATTTTCGTTTCCTTCATGCCAGCCCAGAAACCGGCAGTCTGGAGCAGCCTAGACCTCATAGCTCAGGTAGGGAAGGCGGCGAAGTAGATCAATGACTTCGTCTGTTTTTTCGAAATTTATCCAACCGTTGGGTATGGTTTCCCAGCCATTCTCAGGCGGCTCGTCGATCATTGATTCGTCCATGTACATGGAAACGAGAAAGTGGTAGTAGAAACGGATAGCGTTGACTAGGGCGTCGCGCAGGTAACTGATTTCGCTTATAATAGCCATTGTGCTTGCCTGGCAAGGTCCTTAGGGGGCATAGGCGGTTTATCCAGAAACAGAAGTTGTAAGTATTGATGAACACAAGTCTCCGTGTCCGGAACATAATAACGTCTGATGTCGACTGTAAGAACCAGATAAATAAGAACAAAATATGCGAATGACTTTGCTTGTCGCCTTCCTGTCAGGACAATCGTGGAACCCTGAGAATGTCGACAAAGAGGACTTAGGGGGGCACGTAAGGACGTGGACTTGAAACTGTGATATATTATAGCTGAACTAAGATATACTGAAGCTTTTCGAGCGTTTGTGCAGCATAAAGAAGAGTAAAAGGAACTGACCTGTGGCCTAGCCATCCAAGTTTATTTCCATCGGATCTGTGCCGCCCATCTGCATGACGCTAACACGTTAGGCGTTAGTTCAGCATGCAGGTGTCCTATACAGATTATTGACATCCTATACCCTATGTTTCTAGTACACATACAAGTATATTTTATGTTCGAATTTGGTGCCCATTCCGTCCGCGAACAGAGTACAGAGTCGCACAAACACCTCTTCCCCATCACTCACCCATCATAAAGCGCCTCCATACGCATCCTCACATACTCCCCCGCTGTAACCCTCTCAAAAAACTTCGGCCTACCCTCCTCCCAACACCCCGGCAGCGCCTCAATCACCGTCTCCGGATCCGGCATCGCAAAAAAGGGTATCGAATACCTTGGCGGCACCACCACTTCCTCTTTTGGCCCCTCCCCATCATCCCCTTCTTCCTTGAACCGCACCGGCAACTCAACACGATGCACACAACTCCTCCACCTCCCATTACTCCACCTCTCCAACAAATCCCCCACATTGACCAGCACACACTCTTCCATGGGTTCCACTGCGTGAAACACGCCCGGATGCTGCAAATCCTCGATTTCCAAGCCGCCGACGTTGTCTTGGAATAATAGTGTGAGGCTGCCGAAGTCGGAATGTGCATTTATTCTGCTGAGCTGGTTGTTGCGGAGTGCTGAGAAGGGGGTGGGTGGGTAGTGTAGGAGACGCAACTGGAACAGAGATTGTGCATGTGTGGGACTGAGGCCGGGGGATGGGAGGGCGAGGGACAAGGAGATGGCGTCGAGGAGAGTGTGTAGGAGGGACGTGCAGGTTTCGAAGTAAGTTTGGAGGAAAGCATGGAAGCCCGGGAGGACGTGGTCTGGGGGCCAGATGTTGGGTTGGGTGGCGTCTGTGGGGTTACCGCTTTCGAAGGATTCTTTGTAATCGGGTATCTTAGTTTTAGGAGAGATCTATTAGTGTGTTCTATCGTTAGGGATGAGATGAGGCTATTCACCTCGCGTAGTTTGGATAGCTCATCGGCGTCAAAGACGTGCTGGGTGACTTTTTCGACACCGGGAGCAGAGTAGCCTCGATGGTGATGTCCGCCCGGTGGGTGTGGTGCTAGCATCTTGGTCGAAAGGGGGAGGTCGAAGAATTTCTTAGACCAGGTGAAGCACTCTCTCACCATGTTGCTTGGTACATCGTGGTTCTTCAGATATGCGAAGCCGACTCTATGGAAGGCGTCATCAAGTTTGTGTGCAACACGCTGTTTATCTTCGTTACTGCCGTGTATGAATTTGCCAAAATCGATGATTGAAATATTCGACATTGTTGCTCTTGACCCTGTTATCACTTGCTACGATGTATGTGCTTCTCTCGAATTAGTGTGCCAAAGGAAGCAGAGGTGATGAGAATAACACAACACAAGACGAACAGAAAGCGGCATTGGACTAAGTCTAGCGACACACCTGACGTCGGCAGATACAACCCCTTTAGGTGTGGTACCGAAAGCGGGGCTCGGCCCGGAGATCGGCACCGCGCCTACAGATCGTTATCGTTCCTCCCAGCACACAGGTTCTGCACACTTAAAGTAGTACGCCACCTCCGCCTTCGGTTGTCGCGACCCGCCCATTGTACCCCGGCTGCGCGGCTGGGAAGTGAAAGATGCATGCACTGTAGATATGTCCGCACGCGCAGCTGCCGGAAGGGGTCTGGTAAGGTAGTAACGTAACCTTAACATTTGGCCTGATATTATAGAAGAGAAAGTTCGAAGCGTATGTCAATATGTCATTGACATGTGGGTGAGAAGATATATTACTGATTATAACAGCAATACGGAAGCTGCTTTGTATCTTCCTTTGAAGACGTCCGGATGGTATGACGGAAAATAGAATGAGTTTGACTGCTAGGCGTGGCTAGAACAATTTTAGGGATCATGAAACGCAAGTATGTAAATAGTGGACTAGTGGGAAGTCGTGGTGTCCTTCGTTGCTCTATCGGTGTAGATTTGGCGGATTTCGCGTATGACAGTCACTGGACGCCCATCGATCGTACTACGAACATACATACCATCAAGAACGGTTGGTGATCAAAATACACCTCCACCGGGGTCGCTGATGGCCAGGGATAGAAAAGCAGAGGAACGACGGATATTTGGAGATAGATGTCAAGATGAAATGCTGTGCCATCACGTATATGGAAGCAGCACCTGACTTAACTTTCACCCATCCTATCCGCAACCACACCATCTCCCCATCCATCCCCACACAAAGCCCCATCGCATTTCCCCCGCTAACGCTATGATCCAGGCGGGCAATCCGGCTGTGACAAAAATCAGTATCCACCCAAGCTAGATTGCCAAGAGCAAGAAGACAACATACCAAATTGTGAATGGCACAAGGACTGCAGTTTGCCCCTATCCTAGGAGGGACACAACTGTATTTTTTCATATTTTTGATGTCATTCCCAGGGCAGCAGAATGAGAAAGTCTCAAGAGGATTTTCGGCGCGAACTCTAGATGGTATCTTGGAGTCCTGGACCGGGGTGGCGGCCGCAGCTGTTAGACCGATTAGTGTGGCGGGAAGAAGGGTGCTGAGACGCATGGTGTGTGTGTGTAATTGAGATAGTAAGGCGAGATTCGCAGAGATGGTACCTAAAAGTAATGCTACGACCTTCTCTGCGCTATTCATACTTTTTGAAGGCTCTAGACAAGCCTATTGGTCGGTACGATCACTATGCGCTTTATCCACACAAGGACGTCATTTTCCAACGCATCACTTTCCTATTTCGGACTCAACATCATCATCTCGTAGTGTCATAATTAGGCTGATTTGTTCAAGGCGGCGTTTCGAGGCCCCGCAGTAATGTAAGCTGCCCAGCCTCAGCACTATTACGTGTACTCTTGTACCTACTTAGGTACGTACATCCACGCAATTCCGACATAGTGGAGATGTAGCTGGGCCAAGGTATCGACTGTACTACCAGCACGCATGCCACCTTGAAGATGATGGTTGGTGAAAATATTCTATGACCCAGGCTGGTGATGGCCAAGGATAGAAAAGCAGAGTACTAGATATATAGAAGATGATATTGGATTTGGGTCCCCACGTATGCTGCAACAAGCATTAAAATAGCGTGACTTCCAACATGACCTTCCCCCATGATGATCCCCCCGTCCATCCCCACATAACCACCCATCTTAAATTCCCAGCCCCCAGCCACCGATCCCTTCACCCGATCTTCTGTCGGCCTTCTATCGGCAGTCCGGCTATATGTCAAGAGTTAGCATGCACCCACACTAGATTGCCAGGGGAAAAGTCACATACCATATTATTGAGCTGGCAAGCATTCCAGCATCCCCCACTCACGGGGCAAGAAACCGTTTTCTTCCCACCCGGAGGGCAGCAGTCTTTGACACTAGGTGCGGGGGCTTGCGCGTCCCGAACTCTGTTAGGCTGCAATTCGGGGTCCTGGACCGGCGTGGCTGGTGTGGCGGCGGCAGCTGTTAAGCCGATAAGGACGGCGGGGAGAAGGATAGTGAGACGCATAGAGAGAGAGATACTGTGTATATGTGTGTAGTGATAGCGAAGTGCAGTTTGGAAGGATATCTAGTTGGGACTCTAACTACGCTATTTATACGTTCCAAAGGCGCTGGGGTAAGACTGGTACTCGGTACGATCACCATGCGTTTTGTCCATGAGGACGTCATTCTACAACGCGTTACTTTCCCAATCTAGGATTTACACAGGCATCGCTTTCTATAGTAGTCATAGGCTGACTTGTCGAGGCCAACATTTCGAAACGACCCCACAGTAACGCAAGGTACCGTAAACTGCCCAGCCTTAGCAGTATCCATGTGTTCCTTCTGTTTTTCGCGTCAGTCTTCGATTCCATATCACTACTAGAGAAACATGCGTACGATTTACAAGTCCGCTAAGATAGGGGCAGAAACACGGAACGCGTATGGTTCTTCTCTTTTTCCTAATTTCAACTGATATCATGCGACGCGCAACTGCAACGCCGCAAGCCGTGGCAGTATTACATGTATTCTCGACTATCAACATCTGCACAAGTCCGACATGGTAGAGATGGGGCCGAGCCAAGGCTTGCTTGGACACGTGATGAGGCGAGGTGGGTTCCAACACGAAGCCTTAATTTCCTTTGGATACTAACGCAACTTGGCGTAAGCGAGAGAACATAATACGATGAACAGCGAGAAAAGGACTGTGTTGATACTCAGTCCTTCTCATATTGCCTTCAGTCTTGTGCGCCAATTCTGCGATAGAAACGGCTTGCTTCTGTTAATTCTCCTCCCCTGCACTCAAAGTGTTTTGCTTCATAACAACACGCACATGGGAATTGTTACCCGTTCCTCCAAACGTTTGCCAATATATTCGTCGGCCTGTCCCATTACACCTAGCAATCCCCAATTCCGCACTTTTCCCTTGTCTAGTCCGTGTCCGCCGTTGGTTCATATCCAAGACGTTCCCGCCATGGGAATCATACCTCATGTGGTGTCTGTCTCTCTAGGACTCCCCGAACATGTCAGCCACGCCTGCCAGTCCGGGACTAGTCCCCCTAACGATAGAAGGCTGTTGCTGATCGACGCTCATATACTGCTCCATCATAACTGTTCTGCCTTTGGTCTTGGGCCGTTGGATCTTGCCTTGCTCGTGAATACTCACGCCCTTGATACTGCTAAGAAGATCAAGCACAATACTGCGCTGCATACGCTCATCTTGGCGGTTCGCGCTACGAAGTTTGGCAAGACGACGATCTACACGATACTGATCGCCCATGCCTGGTAGAGACAGGATGATGGAGCGAGGACTATCATCATCCAAGTGAATGATGCCCGCAATGAGAGAGGCGAGTTCCTTTTGGCAATCGACAAAGTATGGCTCGTGGAGGGAGGTAATGGCTGACTTGAGTATGTCGTTGCAGAAGTATTCGCGGATGGGTGATTGCTCCTTGAAACGCGGTAGCAGGGTACGCAGAACGCGAACAATGGTAACGACTGATCGCGTGTCGCGTACTCGCACAGTTGAGTTGCAAAACAGTAGGATCGGTTCGAGAACAGAGGGTGTTGCCAAGATGAAGTCGCACATTGGCGGTGCGTTGGCCTCTTTTCGACCGGACTCGTCATGTCGGGCAAACTCTGTGTACTCGTTAGATTTATGAACGACCAGAGATGGAGCGTAAAGTAATCACAACAAAAGCAATGCTTGGTGATAATCGCAAAGTTCAAAGGAAAAAACTGACCCTGTCGTGAATCGAGTAGGACAGCGACAAGTGAGACGGACGAATACGTGAGCTGGCGTAATATGCTTTCAGTCTTCATCTCATCCGTCAAGTTGTCATTGTCCCCAGACTCTGCCACTTGTTTGGCAACCTCATTCCACTCAGTGCTGATTTTGCGATCGAGCTCGCGGAAAAGTCCTTGGATCATGGGCGGTAGAAACTGCGGCCGTAATTGGGCTGGGCATCCTTCAATTAGATGTGTAGACACTGTTAGTAGAACAGACAAATGATGCGCAGTCAGTGCGCCAGCGTGTCCAAATAGTGCTTGACTCAACGGTCCCGGGAGATCTTGAATGCCGTAAAAGAAGTCTCGGAATCGCGTTAGTGAGTAAAGGATGTAGTACGAGCTCTCCCTAATCTGCCGTACTGTACCACGCACTGTTGATGCAAATCCTTCAAATGTTGATTTTGAACCGCTCACTCTGGCGAAGAAGTCATCTCTGCTCTCCGTCGATATACCAGCTTGCCAGAAACGATCCGTCAACACCTTTCGGATGACTTGCTGCAGGTCAACCGGCAGGTGAGACCAGTTGCTGTCGATGTCGTTGAACGCTTGCGCGTGGCTTACAAGCTGAAGCAGGTTTGGTAGCAGAACGGGTATCGCTTCGGACCACAGTAAGGCAGCAGTTTCATACGCAGGGGTGCCATCGCGTAGCTTCTCGGTCGAGGCTGCAAGTAGGGTTTTTGTGAGTCGCAGTGGCAGATGCTGTGAGCGCTCGAGAATGTTGGCCTGCAAAATCTGCCCTTCACCGGGCAGAGACTGTTGAGACCAGTCCTGAACACCCCGAAAGTTGTTCAAAGACAAGAATTCGGGCAATTGGCCCATGCCCAAGGCGGTACAGAAAGACTGAAACGAAGAAATGGCCTCGGTAAACTCATCGTTGCGCCACGCATCCTTTACGCGGTTCAGCATTTGCCGCATGCGCTCTTCCTGGACGCTTCGCTCTAGGGTGGTACATCTATGTATGATGATGAAAAGAAAAGCAGAGTATGCCATGCGTTGCCGCTCGTCAGTCGTGGGGTCATTAATCATCTCATTGACCTTGGCTTCTAATTGGTCGTAGACGTTCATAAAGTCATCGGCAAACTTCATCGCAAGTTTCTGCATCTCCAAGCTGCATATACGCTCCAAGTCTTTTACTGCATCCGAGTAGTGCGGGTAGTTGGTGTCGTCTGCTAGACGAATCGTGAGCATGTACTCTAGGAAGGTTAGCGCAAAGCCCGGCCGATCACCGAGAGCCTTTGTGGAGAGCGTCGCCGTCAGGGAAATGATCTTCCTAGCCACTTCAGGGTCTTCGAATTGTGCCTGCAGTATTTGCCTGCCCCATTGTTCGAGGGAGTTTTCTAGTTGGTGACGCGTCTCATCGTTCTCTAGCCCTTCTTCTCCTGTGCTTTGTTGCCACTTCATGTAGCCCTTGAGAGCGGCCTCGATGACGGTGACTTGGGCGTCTACCTGAAGAACCTGGTACGAATTCTTGGTGAAGGTTTGACGCTGGAACGCAGGCTGATCGCGGTATAGGTTTTGCAGCATGCTTGTTGCTTGAGCAAGGATGTGCTCCATTGCTTCGACCGGGGTCTTGCGGACTAGTACTTCGATTACTTCTGCGCAGAAACGGCGATAGTTGCCGAGGAAGGCATGGCGCTCGGGGACGGTGTCAATGTCTTCATTCAGGAACTGCAATGTGATGTCTTCAGTATCTTCAGGGAGGGATTCATATCGAATTAGTCGCGCACAACAGGTCTCGAGGAGGCCGCCAACCATGGAATTGACAACATCAGAGTCCCGGACAATGCTCGATCGTAGCAACTTGGTCCAACAGTGGAGTACCGGTATCGAGACAACGAGGCTGGGGTTACGCATGATGTCATAGAGAAATCCAAATACACCTGCCAGATCGCTGCCGTCAGGAATAGACTGCGGCTTTTGTTCGATGGAGAGGCCGAGACTGTTGGCCAACTGTGATTATGGTCAGACTTCAGGAGTGGGTCAAGATTGTTAGGGTGCTTACTTCAGAGAGCCTCTTGCAAAGCATGTATTTCTGGTCATCGATGTCATTGACGTTCATGTCGGCGAGCGTCCAGTTGTATACTTCCCGCACGAGCGATACGCTTCCCGGTGTAAACATGGGACATACCAGCGCCACAAACTCGTCATCGTGTAGGTGGGTTCGGTTGTAGATGGCTTGCAGTGTCTCTACGGCGGCCTATATCCTATTAGCAACGATGCTGGTACTCTTCATGTCTCCACGTACAATTTGCATTTCTACAACTGGAGTGGCAAGGGCTTTGCAGACAGCCTCAATGACTTGGGTGGCCGCAATAGCCTTGGGCATGATCCACGGCATAGCCGCCCTGAGCGCATGCATGGTCTTCACCGCGCTTGCCTTTATGTTTTCTTGATTGTAGTCTTGACCCATACACCAGCCCAAGTTGTTGCACAGCCTCTTAAGCCATCCTTCGTCTCCGCAGCGCACCTCCAGGCTCTTTTCCCTTGTCGGTAGCTGCTCTTGTATGACAGCGAGCGGTGTAAAGATTTCGACACATGCCCGTCCCAGATCACTGCCCCTTAGACCTGCGGTGGCGTCCTCGCGGTTGAAGACCTCTTCCGACAGCGTCTCCAGGACGTATAGCACAACGGCTTGGTGGTGCAATGACGTCGTCCATAGCGCAACGAGTTGCTCGTCCATGTCTAGCCATTCGGCGCCCCAACTCCTCTTTGCAATCTCAGTCCACATCTGGGCGACCTTGTTCCTGATGTAGACGGGATCGCTCTCGTCGACGTTCTGGGCGAGGTCAATGGCATAGCCTCGCAGTACCATTGCCTGCTGATCGGAAAAGTCTTCCCAGCTGTACTTGATCGAGTACTCCAGCATTGTAAGGCCATAGTAGCGAAGTTGGGCGGGTTGTGAGTGATCGTGCGCGAGGGTGTGACCATGTGAGGGCGCTTCAGGGTGCCGCTTGGCCTGCTCGAGGTATTCGGTAGCCTGACGTCGCGTGTCATTGCTCGAAGAGGGTGCGTAGATGGCCTGCAGGGCCTCTAGCACTTGCGATAGATCCGAGTCGTTGCTGCCATTGGCGTGCTGGTGTTGGGCGCCGCCGTCGCCGCCATTTGTGACAGCTTCTCGCGGGGCTTGCTGTGCCCCAGCATCCATCTCGAGTCGGCTCGTCTAGCCTCGATGGGGTGTACGTGACGGTCTAGCAATCTAAGTTGCGTCTTGTGCCTAGTCTTATCGAATTCCGTTTCCGTGTCGCAGATTGTTCCGGGCGGGAGTTGCTGAAAGCGGAAGATGAAGTTGACAAGGGTAGTGGTCGGAGAAGGTTTGGCGCTCAAGGTCTGGGACAAACCAAAGAATATGGCGGTGTAGCGTGGAACCGCAGATTATATGACCCAGGCTCGTCAAACGTGGCGCACGTTGCTTCGATGGATTCCGACAGGAGACCAGCCTTATTATCACAAGAGTTGCAGCTGCTTGCACGTTCCACAAACGCGCTTTGTCGCGCCGACGCGATGTCAGCTGCTTCCACCCGCCAGGCAACGACTTTCACTTTCCCCAATGCATTTAATCCAACTTGTCCTATATACAATGCCCAGTCCCAGCCCGCCTATCCCTTGACGCCGTACAGAAACAATCGCCTTGTCTGACGTTCAACTTTGCCGAGAGTAATCAGATGCATTAAAAAAGCTGACGGTGTGACCTGACCATAACATGACATTGCATCACCGTGCATTGGTCCAAATTCCCCGCAACACCATAGCCCAGCATCATCAACCTCGCCGCTCTACATAACAGTGCAAATCTGGCTGGAATACTGCTGTAGGTAGCCCCCTTCGTCATCTTCTGTGCCTAGTGCATTTCCCGGCTTCCGCACCATTCCCTTGACAGTAATGCTCTGGTCGCCTGCTGCATGCCACCACCGCAGTGTCTGCTGCAACGCACCATTGGTCTCTTCCGACGTAATTGCCCACTTGCCACCGCTGACTTCGACACTGGTTTGGCCGGATGGGAAGTGAAATTCGGGAAGGTAGCAAACTGTGGGTGCGTCCTCTGATGTCGAGCTCGGCGCTGAAAGCGCAAGCTTGAATGTGCAGTACCTCAGGTCGAAGCCGTACGATGAGATGTCTCCATGCACTACAATAGGCGTAGGTCGAATGAAGGCTTCTGCCGCGCGTAACCCACGGACATCACCCTCGTCATTTTTCGGACTCATCTGTTCCGAGGACACTGTCTTTTGTATGTTGGAAGGGGTAATGCTAGCAGTATCAGCCGATTGAGATTTCGAAAACGTCGGCGAACTAGTATCAAGAGATGCACGAGATGCAGCTGGTGGGAAGGGACCCGCAGGAACCGCCTGGTCGTCTTGGGAATAGATGGACAAGTCCTCGCCATTCCACATGTCACCCCAGTAATGGCAGTTCTAAGCACACGTCAGTCTTGTTAAGCCAGAATTTCAACATGACTTACATTAACCACATAGGTCCACAACGCAAACCCATTAGCCTTGCTATCCTCCAGTGCAAAATGATTGGCATCTAGCGCTGCTATTTGGCTGCTGTAGTTGCCAGTCTTGTATGCATACTTGTCGTCCATGTCATATGGAATACCAATCTCGGTAAAGACGCAGGGGTGAACCCCCATGTACTCTGTGCCCTCATCCCGGATTGCCTTGAGCTGATGGGAGAAGCAATTTCTAATCGCACTCTCGCCAATCTTGATGGCAAGAGCTGGCGTCAGATACTTTCCCCGCAGCACACCAAACACATCCACATTCCATACCCGGTTCCATTTCTTAGTTATGAGCGTGATGCCGTCATAGAAATGCGGGGAGAAGATGATGTTGGGGTCGTCGTCCTCGGTACCCTTGATCGTAGGAGGAATCTCCAACACCGGTGGCTGGAAAAACATCAACGAGTCCGGGAAGATTGATTTGACCATTTTGCTGTACGCACGGTAATGCGGCAGCCAGTAATGGTTGGTAAAGTACTCGTAGTCAATCTTGGCACCGTTCTTGGGGTCGACTCCAAAGTAATCTTTCTTCAGGACTGTATCAGTTTTGGGATCCCATACGCCGTGTTGAGCCCACAAGCACTCGCCCAATCGCCACCCGGGATCGCGCTTCCAGCCGTATTTAGTATCGTCACAGTCTTTTGATAACCACGCCATGGTTCCTTCGGGGTCCACCAGGACCGAGCCACTCTTATAGGGGCCGAGACCACCAAAGTCCCATGTTGAGATCTCGCAAGCTCTTCCCGATCCGGTAAGAATGGCTTGCCACGCAGTGGGTGACGTACCCTTCTGCAACTTCTGCTCGCTCGGTATCTGAGTGATATCCTGGTAGCTAATCAGTCCCCGGTTGGGCTCGTTCATGCTTTCCCACCCCACGATTGGGTCGTGCCAAAGGTCACCTGCGTCGCGTATCCGTTTCGCAAGGTGTTCACATGACCCAAGGTAGTGTTCTTGCAAGTAGTCCTGTATATTTTTTCCGTCGATGATGGCCTTGGGCGCAAAGTCCCTACCACCAAAAAAGATTGTCCACATGACTTGACATGCTAAACGTGTGTAGTTGGTGGCCCATATCATCTTGGGGTAGTTCGCAGGTTCGGGATATGTATTTTGGACAAGCGCGGCTTCTGTAACGGCGAAGTGCTCGGGATCTAGGCCACAGGCGTACAGCGTCCACATAGGTGCACCAGAGCCTCCAGAGAATCGCGACCACTGCAAAGTGCATTAGAAAGGAGCCATATATGTACATTGGAATGCTACCTACGACGTCCTGATGCGGATCCATGAAGATATAGAAGCCATATTCCTTCGCTTTACGCAACACGGCGATTGTGTGATCTATCCACTCTTCATCGTACTTTCCGGGCCCAGTATGCTCTATGGCTTCCCATGTGAAAATGTAGCGGATTGTGTTGTAGCCCCAACTACGCAATCGCGAGAAATGTGTCCCCGCATCCTGCAGAGAAAACGGTCGGTTTACGAAAGAAACGTTGTCGCCATCGAAGAAGTTGTCTGGCACGTGTGAAGGCTGATTGGGAGACGCAGGGAACTTGGCGTCTGCTGCACAGTTGATGCCGTGTAGGGTAACTTCACGGTTCTGAGGGTCGCGGAATATCCGTCCGTCAATTCGCAGCCGGATCGAAGACATTATCGGCAAGGGTGATCCAGGTGTTGAGTGTAAGGGAGACAGATGTTAAGTTCAGAGGAATGCGCTTGTCACTTGCCGGGGTATGTCATCATCCAACGGCATCCCTGCTGCTCGCATTAGCCGATCCGGGGTTAGCGCGCCGCAATCAATCGGCGGGCATTGAGGACAAGTTGCAAACATTCAAACGGCCGCATAAATAAAGACCCTGAACCGCTCCTCCTATGACTCAGTAATCGCACCTGCCGTGGTTTCGCTGCGCAGACCATCTGATTCCATATCACCAAACGCCACTCGCTCAATACTCCATCGCATCCATCACCAGCGCAACATGATACTCCGACTGTCCTCGCTCGCCCTAGGGCTGCTACCTCTCGCCGCAAGTGCATTATCGGCCGCAGACGTACCCGCCGATACACCCGTGTCCCAACTTATCAAGGACGCCAGTGTACAACTCGCTACCGGAAACACCCAAGACGCCCTTACGTATTTCGATATAGCCATCTCTCGCGACCCGCGCAACTATCTCACCTACTTCAGGCGTGGTGCTGCCTACCTACAGATCGGAAGGACCACGCAGGCCCAGCATGACTTTGACAAGGTGCTGGAACTGAAGCCTGGCTTTGAGGGTGCACTGGTGCAGCGTGCCAAGATAAGAGCCCGGAAAGCCGACTGGGAAGCGGCGCGCAAAGACTATGAGGCTGCTGGAAAACCCGACGAAATCGCCCAGCTGGAAGAGGCACAGGGCGCTACCATGGTGGCGCAAGAGGCAGCAGACAAGGGCGACTGGGACTCGTGCATTACAAATGCAGGCGCCGCCATCGTAGTGGCAGGCGCCGCATACGACATCCGCAAGATCAGGGCACGCTGTCGCTTCGAGAAGGGCGAGGTGGTAGAAGGAATCAGTGATCTACAGCACCTTCTGCAAATCAACACTGGCGACATCACACCCCACCTTCAGAGCTCGGCCATGGCCTTCTACTCCTTGGGTGAAACCGAGAAAGGAATCAAGCACATCGCCCAATGTCTGCAGTCAGATCCAGACTCCAAGGTCTGCATGAAGCTGCGACGCCGCGAAAAGAACCTCGAAAAGGACATTCAAAAAGTTCGCAAGTACTTCGAGAAGCGGCAATTCGCCACCGCCTCAAAGCTGCTTATCGACCGCGGCGAAGAAGACCCTGGCCTCCTCAAAGAAGTAAAGCAAGACTTCAAAGACTACACAGAAATGGGCTACATCTACGCCAACTCACCCCAAGGCCTCTACCAGACTCTCCTGGAAATGACCTGCGAAGCCTACGTCGAAATGAACAACATGAAGAAAGCAACTCCATACTGCACAGAAGCCCTACAAAAAAATCCAAACTCACTCCACGGCCTCCTCCACAAAGCCCAGGGCCAGCTTGAAGCTGACGACTTCGAAGAATGCATCCGTACCCTAGACGCCGCGAAAGAACACCACCAGCAACACCAAAAGCTAAACGAAATGTACCAAAAAGCACAGACCCTTCTCAAACGCTCAAAGACAAAGGACTACTACAAGGTTCTTGGCGTAACACGTGACGCAGACGAACGCGCAATCAAGAAGGCCTACCGCAAACTCACAAAGCTGTACCACCCAGACAAGGCAAGCGCAAACAACATGACACCAGAAGATGCGCAGAAGAAAATGGCCGCGGTCAATGAGGCGTACGAGGTTCTGTCTGATCCCGAACTCAAGGAACGTTTCGATCGCGGTGACGACCCCAACAACAGCCAGCAGCAGCAAGGGAACCCCTTCCAGGGTAGTCCATTCGGCGGCCAGCAGTTTATGTTTAAGCAGGGTGGATTCCCCGGTGGTAACTTCAAGTTCCACCAGGGCGGGTTTCCGGGTGGTGGCTTCCCCTTTTGAGCGATGTTGCTTTGACTTTATTTATATACATGGCGTGGAGTTTTGGGCGAGCATACAGATGTGGATGAGGCGTTTTTGCAAGTCACGCGCTCGGCGTGTTCTTTCCTGCATTGAATGTATGATATCATCGATTACTTCTGCTGCGTTTCGGTGCGTTATGAACGGTGGTTGTGAAATTAGATGTTTTATTTTACGAGCTACCAACGGCCGCTTATTTTGATGAAGGTGTCTGTGTTTGGGCTGATCTGGAAATTGGTTGTGAATACAATCTCACTTTCTGAACGTGTTTGTCTACATTACTAACAATACACAACGTGGATCCTTATCAGCTTTCTTTGAATCTAGTACTGCACGAGTGTTACTACTGTATGCTCTGGTCCGTCGCTTCGAGCCTTGTATGTCTGCTGTATGTTCTGGGCCTTTTCTGCGTACATGGTACTAATTTCCAAGACGGCGTGGGCAGGATTATCAAGTTGGCATGCTGCGAGCTTACCTGGGCACGATAATCTACGGCGAGGATTTGTGTTGGACGCAATGTCACTAGTGTCCTGTTTGTACATAGTGCTATTGTCGCTTACCACCGTATGAGCTCTTTAATTACTTACATAGGTGTCGTGATCCTTATCTCCGTACAAGAGCCGTTTTGAGTTTGTGCTTGGCGCAGTCTTAGTTCTGTACGTAGGTAGTGCTGATACCGCTCACCGCCGTACGAGCCCTTTGCGTGTCGTTGGCCTTTTTTTCTATGGAGAGAGAACCGTTTTCATTTTCAACTTCTTAGAGTTATCTAGGTAGGATGTATAGTATATGCGGCTACCATGTGGTTACAAGCACGAGTTATTGTTGAACAGACATGCTAAATTCAGAGTAGAGAATCGCCAGAACGAACAGAAATTACCAAAATTCCTAACGCCCTGTAAGATACACTAAGCAGGTGCACTGTCCTCGCCGGTCGAAATGCGCGGGGATCGAATCGTAAGTAGTCTGGATGCTATGCACGGTTTACAATACCTGTCAAGATACCTAGCGTTCTTTTACCCTTGCTCTCTTTCCGATTTGCTCTTTATCCTTGCCTTTTCCCTGCTCTTTCCCTCCAGGGCTGCTTAGCGTAAAACTAGGATTTCTAAGCCCTTGCTTAAAGCGGTTAATCATGATTGAAATACCACGCTAGGCACTTCGACAGGTACTGGAACTGTACATCTCGTGCTTACTAGTTCGGCCCGGAAATGTTGTGGAGAGGGACACAGTAATACGTGCCCTAATGACAGAGAGAAGACGTGCGGCTGACAGCCCCATCTATCCTATAATACTTCTCTCAAATCATATATATAATGGTAGGTACAAGATCCAACGGAAGAATCATACAAGCAACATTTCTCAACAACTACATCATGAAGACTTCGATTTATCTTTTATCTATCGCCACCATGGCAACCGGTGTTATTGCCAGGTCCCCTTTGAGATGTATGATACTGAAGACACAAGAATTCAACCCAAGTCCAAACCTCTGCGGCCCCGGTATTGGCTTTTGGATTGATGCTCGACGACCACGAGGAGCAACTCCGGTAAGATAAGAGCATACTAGACAGTAGTCAAGATTGGATGCATTTTAGCTAACGATTTGAGATTCAAAGACCTACACATGCTGTGTATACGAGGACAAAGTCATTGATTATTTCAACGGATGTCGCGATAATGGTGGCTATTTAAGTTTCGCTGATGACGGTGGAGTTCCATGCAGGTAGCGAGAATTTATGTTTTTTCCGCAACAAGAGAACGACCAGATCTAGCGGGGAAGAAAACCGGGTTTACAACAGGGAGAGAAGAGGTGGAAAGTGCGTACAAGAGAAAGGAGGAAGCAAATTGGAAAGGTAATCTGTTAGTAGGATAGGAGGGGGACGTTCAAATTACATCAACGCTGCCCTTTAGTTCAAAATTAATACATGTTATGGGATAACACGTCCTGGACAATACTGTAGCCGTAGAGCACGAAACTAACCTCCACGTCATCCACATTTCCCCATCCCAGCCGCTCTAGCCTCCTCATCCCTAGCACTCGCACTCACCCCTCCCCTTCCGAACCAAGCGCCTTCCCCAACACCCCTCCTCAACGCCCTCACCCTCATTTCCTCAAGCGCCTCCTACCAGAATTGCCATCAATCAATCGATTAACATAATTAAGTCCTATATAGGTTATAAAATTACTTGATTAGGCCTCCTTCAATCTAGATAGAAATCTATCATGCCGATCTGATTGATTGTTAACAAGTCTGCCTCATACACACCCTCATCACGCCCATGACACTCCTCCTCCTGAGATTCTCAGTATTTCTTGACAGAATGCCCTTTGCAGGGCAGCAAGAACATTCCACTCATCACATCATTCGCATAGCCCGCACACACCGCACCTAAGATATTTTCAACACCGTCCCAGCAAAATACCCGCATAGTAAATCCACATATCTACCATGAGAATACGGATAGGCAGATCGGAGCTATTTCTAGCGTAGGCGTGAGTGATGATTGCGTGAACGGTATGAGCGTCTATGCTTTCGCACTCTGAGTCTGGTTTCATGAAGCAGTCGGCGATGGTGTCTTGGAACTTCGTGTCTTTGAGATGATGGCCGAGGAGGTAAAGGGTGGCTGGGATGGCTATGGTATATATGTAGTTGTTAGCGGGGGTGTAGAAGTTGAAACATTTTGCTGTGTATCGCCAGTGTTGGTATGTTGAAACGGATCTAGATCTTAGGTGGGTAGGTGGATTAGTTCGTTAGATTTGGTTTGCTGCTTAGTTCTCAGAACATCTTGCAGATAGTTGGAGGTCTGGATTAAGGTTGTGGCATGGACATTGAGGATATTGTTTCCTACGAGCACTTGTACGGTCTCGCCTGTGAGGCTATGGGGGCGATTAGCTACTAAAATGGGATCTTGATAGAATATGTGGAACTCACTTAGCAGCCTTCATGCGGTGTTGGGGTCCACTTAAGACTATGAAATATATTTTATGGTCTGATTTAATCAACATGTTGTGCTTGTCTTACATGTTTAGATACTGTATCTTGATGCTTGTTATCCAAATTATGTTATTTATAAGGAGAAAGTAGAAGAAAACAGGTACGAATGCCTTGAGAGATTGTGTTAGCACGAGACTAGCAGACAGTATGGTAGGAAACTTGTGGACGAAAGATGGGAAATTGATCATGAGCTTCGTCATTGCCGTATACGTAGCAGTGCAGGAGGTACGGTAAGGCAATTATCTGTTGAAATCGAAAAGACGTAAGGTGCATTAGTAGAATACATGCTGTCGGAATAGTACAAGGAAGCATGGCCTTGCTATCAAGTAAGCAGAAGAATGTTCTATGAACATTAGAATGGCTGTCATTTTAGCTATCACTCCTCGACTGCGTTCTTGGACTTTGCTGCTCTTACAACCGTTGGAAACCTCTTTCTCAAGGCTCAGTAACATCCATATCATCTTGGCTAGCTGTCACGGTCGTGCCCCCTTCACCTTCCTTAGCTCCCTTGCCAGTGTTCAGAACGACGATCTTACTGCGGTAGGAGGCTGGCTGCAATACCCAGGGCCGAAATGACGCATGGATAGCTCCTCGATTCTTTGTGAGCGCAGGAAGTAGATCGTCAACGAATGGCTTCATGTCTGATTGTTTCAGAGCGTTAAGGCTATTCCATGAAACAGACATATTGAAGGCCCATAGATCAACGAATAAGCGCCGCACAGGGGATCTCTCGGTAGTTCCTCAATAAAGGAGTCTGATTGCGTTATATCCCGGTACAGTAAAGCCTAGCTCGGTTTTGGATGTCGAGCATGTGGAATGGCGAGCGAGCGATCATAGCGTCAACGATAACATTCTGGAAAGCTTGGTCCATGATTTCCTCCCCCAGGACATAAAATTTGGCGAAAGATATCCAAGTGTTCCCCTGTGGATTGCCCGAAAATGGGCGCTTACTATAAAGCCATTGGCAGTAGATTTCGAAGATCTCGGGACACTGATTAGACAAGTCGATTACCTTCGAGTGTGTTGTCCATTCGGGCTTCGTTACGTTCCGGAAAAACTCAGAGCTGGCTGCAATAAGAGCTTTGTGTACATAGATGATTCGGTTGCCGGCTTGGACCCGAATGGTCTCTCCTGAAAGACTGTGTATATTAGTTGAGGTTGAGGAACCAAGGTGAAAGATATCATGTACTCTGTAAGCCTGAAATCCGATGTTACTGAACCTACGGCGGGCGGAAGCGCCATCTTGCTCGTCGCTTTCGATGATCAGTCCAAACTCTACACGGCAGGCGGAGCAGTGCTTACCTATCACGTGCGACGAGAGCGCGAGAGTGAGCAGACTGACTGCCGGTGAGTCTTATGTCGGCGCGTTGCAGCCTATGGAGCTAGCACGGTTACCCAAGTGACAGCGGGATCTCATTAGCGCATATGCGTGAAGGTGAGAGAGAAGGCCGAAAAGCGATAGTGTGCCCCTCACCTACCAAAGCGACAGGGTCTATGCGACTTGGGGAAAAGCAGCAGCGGAAGTACTTGGTAGGATTGATATTGTATTGTTAGTGCTGCAGTGTTCCCATCCTCTGACTAGTCTCTCTGAGATGCTCTCAACACATACTGCTCACTGCTAACACATCATCTTTCGATATGACCTAATCACTCAATCATGGGTAATGCACTGCGGAGAAGGCTGAAAATGATGAAATATTTCTCATGTGTCTTCTTTCTTGGGTATAAAGTGTAAAACAACCACTCCAAATAATGGAATTAATGGCAACAATGACTCGTGAGATCACACACTTATAGAAAGCCTAGTCCGCTTCACCGAAGTCGCTGTGGCCGGTCTCGGTGGCATGTTGTACGGCTTCTCGTTCACCTGACCCCTTCCACCCACACTTATTGCATTTAATATTGAATTTCTGGGTGTCAGTATAGTAATGTTGTTTCTTCAGTTGCCCGCAAAGCTCCCTCGCCGCCTCCAGGATGACCGTGTCATTGGCATCAAATAGCTTGATATCTTGCGATGGATCTTGCGGTGACGTACCCCTTGGGACAAGTGCGATGGTGTCGTAGTGAATGCCGGAATATACCAGGATGCAACGTCGTGATTTGCCCTCGTTAAATCTGTCGACTCGAAGATCCTGCACGTTGATACTGGATATCTCGATATCGAACTCCTGGGATAGAATGCTGAGCTCGATACCTCCACCCCATGAGTCAGAGTATGATATCCACTTGCAGTATTCGTCAGGAGATCGTTGCAAGATTGCCTCGTTGTACTGCTCCGGATCTCTCTGTATGGCTTGCGCGACCATCGACCTGAGCTCAGTCATGGCGTCCAGTGTGTCAGTCAGTACGGCACTGCCCACTGCTCGAAACATGCAAGAGTTATCATCCGGCATTACTCGAAGTACGATTGTGCCGCTGCGATCGGGTACAGGCACTTCGGGGGTGTCTTTTAGTGCTGAGTTCTGCTTGCGCTGGAGAGACAATGGGGCCGCTTGCGATGTCGCAGCTTGAAGTTCCTCTTCCCGCTTCCGCTCACTTGGGTCGCCTGTGGCCTTCCCGATGACGATAATAGATGCGCCGTTGAGCTTAAGGTCGGTGTCCTTCAACAGGGTGGACAAGCCGTACAGAGACGGATCTAGCGGTTGTGGTGGATGGTTCCATTTGAGCTCGAATAATGGCAGCTCAGTCTTTTCGCTGATGGAGGAGAGAAGATCGGAAACGGCGGCGTGATCGTCGAGGGAGATGGTATGAGTACCGTTGGGTGCTCGCAATCGAATGCGGATCGGCATGGTGTCGAGAATGTGTGGTATTAATCTGGTGGGCAATGTAGAAGTGGGGGAGGTTTTTGGAGTAGAATGAGAGAGTTGAGAGGTATAGTATGAGCAAGGGAGGCAATGTACTGGTGGGGCGATCTAAAGTTGGAAGCGGCGGTGGGGAGCGGTCAGGACAAGGAAGCTACGATGAGTAAGTAGGAGGAAGGAGAGAATTAATCACATAGCTACAAGGGCAAAGACAAGAAAGCTTAGAGGGAGGAAAACCATTTGTCAGCTACAGGAACACTGTTGGAGGCGACAGTTGGCGCGAACAAGTGGCATGGCGTAAGTGAATGTTCGGCAATCGTTATGAGTATTTTGGTCCGGCGAACTGTGACAGGCCTCTGCTGATTGTTTCTCCGGCACCGCTCCGCTGCATCGCCACTTCGTGTAAATACTCTAGACAAAGCTGACGTTAGAGGCGGTAATAAAAGGGACGGTGGAAAAAGCGAAAGCAAGTGTCCCAGG